TTTATGTGTGTTACCAGTAAAAGTCAATGGATCCTAATTAAATTAAAAAGCCAGTCATATAAAAAAAATACTGTTTTCATGTAAACATCTGTTAAATAATAAAAGCACAACATTGCCAACGTGACAAATAAAAGTGTGTAAAAATAGAATTTACTTAACTCAAACCTAAGTTTAAATTGGAAATATATGATATAGTAACAGAAGCATACACAGCAGTAGGCCATCCCCTGGCACAGACAGAGCAGATGTAAGCTATAGTACGCTCCTCTCCTCTCTTCCCACAAACACACACACACTTAGTGGTCCAATTTAAGTACTGCTATTACTCTCTCATATTACTAGCTATTAGGGCAAAAAAGTTAGCCACACTCTACAGCCTTCAGCTTCATCTAAAGCTGATTTTTTTGTCATGTTACAACATGTTAATTGATTGCCAATTGTTTCTGGCCAAAAACGCTTGTTCCTGGGTGTGGTTCGAGAACTTTAAGCAAGGTCTATGTTAAACATAAATAAATAAATAAAGTTTCATTTGAGCCACCTCGTTCCAAACTGACACAAGCTCAAAGAGCCTTGTAACTAAAGATATGACAAATCCACTTTTTTAAAACTTTATCAGATGCTTGCTATCAACCCTCAGCATTAACTAGATACCAGATACAGATACTGACACTACAGAAGTTCGTAAGATAATGGCTGTGGGCTCTGAAGCCTGGTCCATTTGAGCACCCACTAGCTCGCCCATTGCTAAAAGCTCCTAGGGAGGAGCTACTGGACCCAGAACCCAACCAAGTTCAGGGGACAACAAAGGCAATAACGGGAACAGGTGTGGGGGTCAAAGGGCCAAAACTAGGGAACCAGAAGGGGACACTGAGCAGAGAACCCTGGACAGCGCCTATTGCTCCTCAAAGGCATCGAGAGAGCTGGCAGACACTGCCCAGAGGAACTCTGCACAGATATGTAAGCGGATAAAAATAAACAAAAGACAGCCCCACAGTCGCAGGGCCCCCCCTCTGCCAACCTCCTCTCCCTGGTGTTACAAATGGCCACCTTGGCCATGGCCAGGAGGAGGCTGACAAGGTGGTCCCGCGACTTTGTGGGGCTTCAGATCGGATGTGCGTAAATAAACAAGTGCGGGGAAAAGTGCAGCCAGAACCTCAATAAGAGGTTCTGGAGGAGCTGGAAGAGGGGCTGCAGCCTGGCGCACTGAAGGTATGCGTGCGCCAAGGTCTCCCTCATGCCACAGAAGGGACAGGCTTCAGAGACAGAGGTGAACTGCGCCGAGTACACGCCTGTGCTCACAGCTCCATGTAGGAGCCACCAGCTGATATCCCCAGCAGGCCGCAGGACTAAGATGGAATATAAGCTGTTCCACCAGGGTTCCCCACCCTCCATTCCTGGTGAACTGTCCCGCCATTTGGTATATGGGCAGAACATGAAGGTGGGGAAATGAAGTGTGTGCATCACGAGCACATATAGATGGTCTCTTGGCGCGGTTCGAAAATGGACAGGCTGCAAGACATGCAGCCAACTTGGGGTACGAGGAGGGGGAGACTGGGAAGGCTCACGGGGCAGGGGGCCAATGGAAATATCCGGAGAGCCTGGTGTGAGAGGCGGGCAGGGTGCACCCTCTCGCAGGACCAGCTCGAGGAAAACCCAAGCCTCGGGGGACAGGACTGCCTCCAACTCCTGGAGAACGTGCCAGGGGGTTTTAAGGGTGGAGAGCCCCATGCACCAACTGAGCGCCAGGGGATCCATCCAACCCCCCCAAGTCATAGTCCAGGAGGTCTCCAATCTTGGTAACTCCCACCAGGACCAACCTCTGGCATACCAAGGGGGACTCTACCACCTGCACACGGAGCTGAAGATTGTGTAGCAGGGCCTCCGTGAGGAGATCTGCCCTCTCGGTGGCCACCACAGACCTGGTTGCTGAAACCAGCCTCCAGGTCCAGAGGAGGTCCTGGTAGAAGACCAGCAGCTCAGAGAGGTCTCGCGGAAAACCTCTTGGATGGAGAAAAAAGAGCTGCCTCTCATATCGAAGCCCTCGCAGGCGGTGGAGGAAGGCATGCCCTAATATGCTCCGCGCCGAGCCACCTGCACTATAAAGGACTCTCTGCAGGGCCTGGAGGCGGAAGACATGGACCTGCTTGCGCATGCATACCAGGCCGTCCTCCTTTCTTCAGGGGAAGATGGAGAACCCCTGCAGAGACCCAGTGCAGTCCTGGCCAAAAAAACTCCAGAACCAACCTCTGGAGATTGGCCAGGAACCTTGGGGGGTGGGCATAGGGTGTTGAGCCAGTGCCAGAGCATGGACAGGACCAGTTGGTTAAGCACCAGCGCTCTCCACTGGAGAGAGAGGCACTGGAGCAGTCCTGTTCGGCCCCGCAGTCACCCAGCCACCCTGCCAGCTGTCTGGCGGAGACGGATGTGTGGCAGAAAGGTAAACACCAAGATAGAGCAGTGGACCTGCGCTCCACCGGATAGCCTGAAGCATGGGTGGGAGGGAGCTCGCCCGCCACCCGGCCCCGACCACTAGGCAAGAGCTCTTGACCCAGTTGACCGGAGCAGAGGAGGCCGCTGAGTAAACAGCTTGGCAAGCCTCCACCCGCACCAGGTCGTCCGGGTCCTGGACCATGAGGAGCACGTCGTCGGAATACGCTGCCAGGACCAGCTGCACCTCCGGCTCACACAGCACCAACCCTGTCAACCTCTTACGAAGGAGACGGAGGAAGGGCTCAATAGCCAGAGTATTCAGCTGACCTGACAGTGGACAGCCTTGCTGCACTCCTTGCACGAAGCTGACAGGTGCAGTCAAGGTCCAGTTGACCCTGACCAAACACTCTGTGGAAGCGTACAGCACCTGGAGAAACCCCATAAACTGGGGCCCGAAGCCGAATGCCCGCAGAGATACCTGTGGTCCATCCGGACGAATGCCTTCTCCTGATCCAACGACAGGAGGGTGAACGACAGACCATCCCTACACCCAAGCTCTAAGAGATCCCAGACCAGGTAAAGATTATCAAAGAGGGTATGGTCCGGGACGGTGTAGGTCTGGTCAGGATGGACCACGTCCACCAGCATGGACCGCAGCGAGACGGCCTTTGCTACGACCTTGTAGTTCATGCTGAGGAGCGAGACTGGACACCAGTTACGGAGATCGCAGAGGTCCCCCTTTTTTGGCAGCAAGGTGAGCACTGCTCGCCTGCATGACAGGGAGAGGACCCCGCTGCTCTCCAACGATTCGGCCCAGATGGTGGCAAGGTCCAGGCCGAGGATGTCCCAGAACACGCGGTAGAACTCCATGGTCAGCCCCTCCACACCCAGAGATTTATTAGTGGGCATGAGACGGAGGGCTTCCGAGAACTTGGCCAGAGTGAGAGGCAGGGCAGCTCCAGCCGTTCCTGGTCACCCGTGCTAACTGTCAGGAGTTCATCCCAAAGCACACTGCAGGCATCAGCGTTGGTTGGCTCCAGGGAGAAAAGGCCAGCATAGAAGGCCTGGGCCCTCTCGCGTATCTCCACCAGATCCATGAGGGGGGTAGCATCTGCTGCCAAAAGGCAGATGACGTGCTTCTTTAACCCCCTGACTGCTACTCCAGGGCATAGAAGAAGCGGGAGCCACGATCCATCTCCCGCAGGAGCTGAAGCCTGGTAGGAAGATGCTAGAATCAACAGAGCAAACCATCCTGAAAAATGAATATACTAAAAAGGAATCAAAAGTAGTACTGATTGAATGAGAGCAGTGAAGTGCCAAGGCAAGGGGCATAAAGAATTTAATGGTGGTACATCTTAAAAAGCCAGGTTACATTTAGCTGAAAAGAGAAGCCACACTAGAGAAAGAGTCACGAACCCCAGAGAAGAACTTAGGCTTTCGTTCCCCTCCACCCCCACCTTGGCTGGCATGCCAAGCGGGGACGTCTCAGATCCTGAGCTGGTCAGATCAGCTCTGCATATCACCTCGCCATGCGGCAGCTAACAACAAACGCGGCTGTTTCTCGAGGCGCTGCCAGTTTCCTCAGCCCCCGCTGCGGCGCGGCACCGCAGACCTCTCGGCCCACCCATCCTCCGGTAGCAATAACGCGCTAGTTCTATGTCGCCTGAGCGCGTTACACGGGGGTGATATTTTCTCCCTGACTACGCTCCACAACAACGCCAGTTTACAGGCCGCCGCCGCCGCCACCACAACACCCCCCCGCAGCGCTGCAAGCCCCATGCCCAGCGGGCTGACCGGCTTCGCTGCATCCCTTTTCGGCGGCAGTCACCTGGCAAGTGACGCTTCTCCTCCCCAATGCACCACCCCAGCATGCCCCGGGGGGCAGCCGCAGAGCCATGCTGGGCCAGGAGCTCTGCGCCCCCAGATTTCACCCCTGGATTGGACTCGGTGGGGGGGGACTGTGCCCTGGAGGCAACGAGCTCCCTCAGCACGGGGCCAGCGCCCGGGGGGGGGGTGCTCAGACCCCAGCGGCCTGCGAATGGCAGTAACCGCTCGCCCCGCGCGGAGCTTCACCCTCCCTGACTCACTCAAAGCCGCAGAAGTCTCGGTCAGCGTTAGCAGGTCGCGAGCCAACCGAGCTCCCAGCAGCCACCGCGCTCCAGCTGAGGCTGGAGCCCCACGCGCTGAAAATTAACCTTCAAAGCTCGCGAGATCCACCTGTTTCCCTTCCGCGATCTCCCAAATCCCGAACCGATAAAAGTCATCGCGTGATCGCCCCGCCCCGCCTACACGATGGGGCCCCTCAAATCCCGTTCCAGGAATGAACTATCGCGAGTCTTATCTCCCCGCCTCTGAGGATTTCCGCTTCCATGCCCCTGAAGGACATCTCTGTAGATCTAACCTCGACCCCACACATATACTGGCTTTCAGAATGAAGTCTCACGAGATTTCCTCTTCTTCCACAAGAACCTCCACGAAATCCCACCCCTCCCTTCCAGAGGTCTCGCGAGGTTTCCTCTCCTTCCCTGCCCCCCTCCCCCGAGCACGATGCCGCGCAGGAATGTGAAAGGCTCCCGCCCGCCGCCATTTTCTTTCTTTCTTGGCAGGCAGCGAGTAGGGCAGGAAGCGGCGGCGGAGCGGCTATGGCGGATTATTCCACGGTGCCCCCTCCTGCTTCGGGCGCGCCCGGAGGAGGAGGAGGCGGAGGTGGGGGAGTCAACGATGCCTTTAAAGACGCACTGCAGCGGGCTAGGCAGGTGTGTAATGTGGGCACCAGCCCATCGGTAGCTCCGACCCTCAGGCTCGGGGGCCTGGAAGCGGCTCCCGATAGGGCCTCCTCTGATCCTCAGCACCGGAATCTCCCCTCTACCTATTCTGGGACAAATAGGGTGGGTCCTACGCAAATCCTTTGAAGCGTATCGGGCGGCTTCAGGGGTTTGTTCTGGGGAGGGGGCTGGAGTCAGGCTGGGTCCGCTTCCCTTTCAGGGGCCTCGTTTTCTGCGCACGTTGGGGTGACGGCGGTGCTATTTGTTTCTTCCCCATTCCCCGCCCTATGTACGCAGTGAGGAGAGATTCTTGGGTCTCCCCAACACCCACAACGAGGGGGGAGCTCCCGCCGCGCCCTTGCCCCATCAGCACACAATGAGATGGGGGGGGGTTCCCACCTCTGCTCGATCCCCGGTAACCTTCCCCCTGTACCCACAAGCTCCGTCAAGGGACAGGTTACGGAGGGGACCTTTCCCGGGCCTTCCCTCTGAGCCGTTTGGGGAGGAAGCAAATAGCGAAATCACAGCTGGTTATTAAAAGCGCCTTATCCCAGGCAGCGCGCGGCCCTGGGTCGCCGCCCTGCGCTGGTTGGGGAGGCGAAGGAGACGGAACTGCTTGTCGCGGGTTTTCGACGAGTCTCCCCCCTCGTGTTCTAAAAGGCTCAGGTTCAGGTCCAGTTATTATGTTGCCTGAGGCGCTCTTGTATCCTGGTAACCTGCTCAAACTAGTTTGAAAGTGTTGGGTTCGTTGGTCCTGAGCTAAAACTACAGGTTTACGTTGAGTACTCTCTGTCCTTTAGTTTTACTTTTAACTCGATTTGCACTATTGTCGTTTTTTCAGTTGGCTGCACATAAGATTTCATTTGGTAACAAGCAAGATGCAACTTTGTACAGTGTTTATAAAGGGAAAGTCAGATAATGCAGTTATGAGATTTAAGGTGATTTTGGTAGGAGTTGGGTTCTCTGTGAGATAACTCAACCTGTTTTAATGAGATGGAAAATCTCAAAGATCTTGTGGAAAAATACATGGTGCTGCCATTTCTAAATGCAGCAGTCTCTTCTACTTCCTCCATGGGTGAAACCTCATGAGTACAATAACCTCCTTTTTGTAAAGAGAAATCTGTAAGAATGCAAAATGCTCTTTAAATACCGGTCTTAAAGCAAAATGATCATTTGATCAAGTGTGCTCAAAGATGATATGCAAAGAAAGGGACTTTTTTTCGTCATTGAGATATATATTGTTTTTAATATGTATTTTTTAAACCTCCAGCAAAACTAGGGCAAACCAGGACTGATCTGCAAGGTTTTTGATTTGCAAGGTAAAAAGTATCTCATGTATGTTTTCATTATTTTTACTTTTATCTAGATTGCAGCAAAAATTGGAGGTGATGGAGGGACATCAATGAATTCAAATGATTACGGTTATGGAGGACAAAAAAGACCTCTTGAAGATGGAGGTATGCTGTCAATAAATATGTGCATACTACCATAATTCATTTTGTTCATGGCAGCGGTGTCAAAAAGGTCCTAAATTTTCCACAGAAACAATAGTAAATAGTATAGATCCATATTGTACTGGCATGTGCTCTCTTTAAAGAACATCACACACTTTGCCAATTTGGTTTTAATGGGGATTTTTGTTTAGAAATCAGTGGTGCTATTTAGGTCTTAAATCTGAAGTCTGTGTAAATCAATTCTTAGACCATTACCTGACCTCTTGTACTGAAACAATGCAGTAAATTTTAAGAGGAAAACCCATGGGTAAGGTAGGTGAAACATAAATAATTTAGAAGATCCCTTTATGCAGGTATATTGTTGAAATCTTTTATTCACTGTTAAGGTTGAAGGTGGTCACCTTTCAAACCTATGCTGGTTTGACCTCTGATTTATTATTGAAGGTACAGCATCTGGTAAACTACTTTTAATGCATTTCATTGTAAAGGCATAGGACTTTAAAAAAAAAAAAAGGACAGGAAAATAAAAATTCTTCTTATTAGACTTGGCTAAATCTTTTACTAACTTCAGCATACAGCACGCATGAACCCTGATAAGATCATGCTGTAATATTTCCTCTACTTTTGTTGCGGTTTCCACTTTTTGACTTGCTTAACGTTGCAGAAAAGTTTGCTGCTGAATTGTGTGGCGTGTCTTCTGATTTTTACTACACAACTAGTGTGAACTTAACAGGGTTTGATATGTTTAATAAACACACATAATCCTGACTAAATTATGGAGAGAAACTTCTGAACTTGGAGATGTTGAAAATACTTTGTTAGGTCTATATGAGCTGTGACTTTTTTTTTTCCTTTAAGAGGATTGTGACTCAGTTTACAGAATGCAATTAAGGCTTCAAACCAGGAGTTCTTGTATTCTTTATTAAAGTGTTTTTCTATTAATAGTGAGGTTTTTAATATACAAAAATGAGCTAATGATGCTTCAGATGATGTATGTAATGTATTCTTTTTATTTTATGTGTAGATGGCTCTTGGACAAGTCCGAGCAGTACAACACACTGGGAGGGAATGCCCTCTCCTTTTAAAGGCAGGAATTTTTATTTATTACCTGTGTTTAGTATGTAAACGTGAAATAAACTAGTGGATCTTTTGAAATGGATGACACAAATATTTCCTGGATTATGTGTCTGACTTTTTGCTACACATAAATTATGATGGTTCATCACATAACTTTGAATTTGGGGTGGGGAAGGAAACATCTGAAGTAGTCTTTTCAGAAATAGGTTGTCAGTGCCTTTCATTTCGCTTATTTGTACAAAGAGGATTTTTGATGTTAGTGATAGAGTTGCTTTGAATATACTTTTTTTTTTTTTTTTTGAAGTTTTATGCTGTGAAATGCTTGATATTTGGATAGGAATTTCATACCACAGTTCAGACTCAGATTGCATTGCAGGGGATTATTGTTGCTTCTTAAATTCTATGTAGATTTGTGGTCACTTGTCAGATTTTTTTTAAGCCATTGTTTATTTTCATACTGATTTTTGGTGGACTTTTATCTTCAGTTCTTACTGTAGAAGCATCATTAGCTTGAGAAACCAGTTATTAGGAGCAGAGTTAAATGTTGTTGCTTGTCTTAGCTAAGTTTCATTGACTGTTTATGGATATCCAATCTACAGTATGTTTCTAAAACTATGCTTTTCTTAAACCACTGGATAGACGAATGGAAATACTTAACTTCTTTTCAAGTATACTAACCGAGTACCGTACTTATAAGATTTCTTTTTTATTCAGATCTATTCCCTGAAATTACCAAAACAAAAACAAATTCATTGACTTAAAAAATACACTGGAAAAGTTACGATTCACGCTCATGGGACAGCCATTAGTTTAAAAGATTCTTGTTTCTTTGCAAAAAATAAAAAAAATCTTAATTTTGCAGATCAACCAGATGCTAAGAAAGTTGCTCCTCAGAATGACTGTAAGTATTTTTTATTTCATTGCGAATAAAACCTAAACAAGTGTACATTTTCAGAGCAAGAGTATGATGCAGTATTCTGGTAGGTAATGTTGGACCAGTGAGATCACAATGACTTGACCTGTAAGTCTCAAGTTTCTTTAAGGAAAATAGGCTTGTTTTTGAACAGTTTGATAGTTGTGAAATATTATATATTAGCAACAGAGCTGAGAATCAGTTTGTCTTTTAGCTATACTTTTATACCTCTGCTTGGCAACTTTTTTTAAAACCCAGCTTTGTCAGAAGTAGCTACAGATACACCTCTACTCCGATATAACACGAATTCGGATATAACGCGGTAAAGCAGTGCTATGGGGGGCGGGGGCTGCGCACTCCGGCAGATCAAAGCAAGTTCAATATAACGTGGTTTCACCTATAACGCGGTAAGATTTTTTGGCTCCTGAGGACAGTGTTATATCGGGGTAGAGGTGTAGTTTGTTAGTGGGAAATTTTTGGCTTAATTGTGAGAGAATTTTGCCTTTATTTGTGAATTTAACTTTAAAAATACTTTTTATTTGTAGCTTTTGGAACCCAGCTACCCCCGATGCATCAGCAACAAAGGTAGGAGCCATAATGAACATTTTGTTTACACTTACTTTTTAGTATTGGTGCATTTCCAGGAAACAACTTCAAAACATTTCTCCTAAAAAGACAACGTTTGAACATAATAATGAAACACAATTGTGAAGTGATGCTTGTTACAGTTTAGCCACAATAGGCATAAGCTAAATATTTGAAATGTATGTAATAGGATACCACATCGAGAACTGCATGGAGACTTGATATCATGTCATATGTGGGAGGTGTGATCCATAGGGTCAGGCATCTGGACTGAAGGAAAAGGTTATTTTAAAAGCAAGAGGGAAAGGTTTCTTAAGGGGAAAAATATTGGCGTTAACAAAATTTATGCCAAACATATCTGATCAATAACTTATGCTGCATTCTTCTCATCTTGCTTCTTCCCTCTGCTCAGAACACAAAACTAACCAAAAACACAAAACTAACCAACCTGCCCACATGCCCTTTTAATTGTTGATGTGCATTTTTTGTTTGGAAATGGCCTATATTTTTTTGTTCTGGAAATGACCTATATTTTTATACATCTGTGACATACTTCTAATGCTACATAACTAGCAATATTTTAATAATCATGGAATATACTGGTCTTTTTCATACCAAACAGATTTTTAGCAGAAATAATTGATCTATTATGAAGTACATAAATCTAGTATCTAAATTTTATATAAGGAGTGTCATTTTTGCCTTCTAATATTACTGTTTGGTATTCTGTGTTTACAGATTGTCATTTTGGCTTTTAATCTCTATTTAACTTGAAGAATTTCAGGTTAAAATGGGCAAAACTTCTAAAGTAAAATTGCATAAACTTGGCTCTCATTCAAGTCACTAGATGCGGTAGATGCACCCACAGAAAGGCATTTCCCCAAAATGTTGCAGTATGTTTCTCCTCCTTGGTGTGATTGGGGGCGGGGGGGGGGGGGGAAGGCAGCCAGTCTTTCTATACAGATGAAAAATATTCTCTAAATTCTAAGCCAGTGTAGTCTCCTAACCATATGTAATCTTTTGTTGTATTTTGTCTTTTTTTAGGTCTGTAATGACAGAGGAGTACAAAGTTCCAGATGGAATGGTTGGATTCAGTAAGTAGTATAAATATAATATACAATATAATGGAGCTTTTAACAAATGTTGCTATTGCTAGTAAAATCCTTTTGTTTTTATTCCTCAAGTAATTGGCAGAGGAGGAGAACAGATTTCACGCATACAGCAAGAATCTGGATGCAAAATACAGATTGCTCCTGGTAATTATTTCCTTTTGAGGTTATATACATTTAGTGGTAGCAAGTTTGGAACACTGCTGGTTGGTTTTTCAACTAAATTTATTCTCACCTTTAACAACTGGGAATAGGTACAAGTCATTTAGGTGCAAAACAATCTTCAATCTTGAGACTGTCATTTTATTGGTTTAGTGAAATGTTAAAACTTCCCACAACACACTTTTCTATTTACTTAGCTACTGATTCCTTGCAAGTTAAACAGAATTGTTAAATCTGTTCCATTTTACAAACTTTATAGATAGCGGTGGCCTGCCTGATAGATCTTGCATGTTAACTGGAACACCCGAGTCTGTTCAGTAAGTACATTGTCTAATATTTTTAGATCTAAAAATATTTTAAAGTATGTCATATGACTCCTATACAGTGAGGTGACAATAACTAGGCTTGGAAGGATTCAGTTTTTATTGGTAAACATTGATTGCAAGGCACACAGAAATTGACAAAAATGTTTCTATCGATGATCAAAATTTACAGATAGGCAAAATAAGAAAAATGTTGCTTGAGAGAATTTTTGATTTAAGGATATTTCCTTTGCATACTCTGTCATGTGCTATTGACAGTTTGTGTTTTAACAGTTATAAAGCTTCAATTCTTTGAATCTGAGCGTTTACTGTCATTAAGTAATTATTCTGACCCCCTGTTGTCTTGGGAGGAGGGGGGAGCATAATTTCCCACAACTCTGAAAATTTAAATAGATAATCTAGAGAAATGCTTAAGAATAAGAATTTAATTGTGCTGAGCCTGAATATAACCATTCAACTGTGAAAATGAAGTAGCCCCTTTTCTTGCAGTTAGATCTATGCTGATGGATCAGACCCTAAGGATATTATTAAATCAAGGATGAAACATTTGATCTGTATATTATCAAGATCTGACTGAACAATGCAACTGGCCCAATTTTTGCTAGTAATTATTAATCTGTACACTAGTTTCAGCATGAGTACAAAGTGTGTCGGAGTGGTGTGTGGCCGTGCCATTTGATTTTATGTTGATATGTAATTTTCTGGATGAAGTTAATATTGAAGTGTGGTGTTTTTGATGATTAGTAGGGCTTGGGAGACATTCGTAAATTTGAGTTCCACTATTTTTCTTACTGCCATAATGTTAACAGTAATTTGAATTTGATCTGTTGCCAAGTAATTTAGTTTACTATATGTCACTAAGCAAAAAGACATTAACATTTATTAAACATATATTAAAAAAATAAAGGGTAGGGGGGACCTACAACATCTGCTTTTTTTTAATTTTGAAAGGGTCTTATGCCTTTCACTCAAATTGGCCTGCTTAGGAATAGCTTTTTAGCAGACCAACTGATCACAACAAAATGTTACAAGATTAGATTCATTCTGGCTCGATAGGATAAGCACTTATTAGCCAGAAGACAAATTGATAAAAAAGCAAGGCACAGTCATGGATATGTTGGTGTTCAGTCAGAACATGTAGGATTTTAAAAGAAGGCCCAATGGCGTGAAGATAAATGTGGTCCTATTATATAGTAGCGGTGGGCATAATCATGGTGGTACTTGGTAAATCAAGGCTTTCCAGTACACAAGACTTAAGCTTTTAGTTGAGACAATGTTTAGATGCCTCCTAGTCTGAATTCTTACATGTCTTTATGGGTTAGATGACCTGTACCTAAAGCAACGTAGTGCCTATTGATAGACTTGCATCAGCAGAGAGAATTTTCACCATCCTGTGCTGTGGTGGGTTGATCTGTGAAATTACACAGCAGAGTATATTCTAGTTGAATGCTGGAAAGTCTAGTGCAGAGGTTCTCAAACTGTGGTCCGCAGACCACCAGTGATCCGCGAGCTCCATTCAGGTGGTCCGTGGATAGTTCCCTCTAAGGTGCGCGCCTGAGTGGCTGCACACAACACAATGAAGGGCCACCCGCCTAATTAGTGTAGCCGTGCAGGCTTGGCTTCACTAATTAGGTGTCTGGACCTTGGAGAAGATGCACATGTAAGGTGAGGTGGTGGCCTTGGGAGGAATGGGGGTAGGTGGGAGGGGGCAGTGGGGTGAGAAGAGGGGGTGAGGGGAATTTGGGATGTGCAGGACTGCGGCGGCCAGAGAAAGAGGCGACTTTCCCCAGCTCCAGGGCTGCGGCTGCTGGAGAGAGCCCCCCTCTTCCCAGCCCCTGTTTGGGGCCCGCCGCAGCGGGGGAGAGGGCACATTAGAAAGGTAAGACTACTGATCCATCACATTAGAAAGGTAAGACTACTGATACTAAAATATGAGTTGTGTGCTTTTGTTTGTAGAACAAAAAAACTTTAATTACTATTAAGGGTTTTTTTTATATAGTGCTTTTATCTAAAGCGCTTTACAATAGTTAGCTAACGGTACAAACAACATTGGGAAAGATCATTAAGTGGTGTGCTCCGCGATAAAAAAAAAAGTATGAGAACCACTTGTCTAGCGGACTTGACCAGCCCTAGCTGTTAGTGTTGAGTGGTTTTCTTTCAACTTAACTGAAAAGTTGATGTGTATCCAGCATTTGGCCAGCACTGTAAAGGCAGTGTCAATGTGGGAGACTGTTACCTCTGAGTCTAATTTACTCTGGTTTTGCTTGAGGACATGTTAGGTGGAATGGATTTTGTCCAAGTGTCTGTGTGCTAGTCCCCTGTGCTCTTCTGTTTTTGGCAAGGCCTGCTGGGAGCTCTGGGGTCAATTGATGGCAGTTGGTGTTTCTCTTTGGAAACCCACCCATTTTTCAACAACTGTGGTGGGTTCTCTCTTCAAGAAGCTATCTCTTAACTGGCAAGCATATTCACATTATGAATCCACTGTGACCATAATTTGGGGGCAGATGTTTGAGGGAGGTATTGTAGCAGTTTCAGTCCTAACTTAATCTTTGACCTGGTCGCTGTGGTTTAGGCAGGTGTTAAAAACAAACTTACTGTTGCCTATCCACGTAAAAAGGATCCAGGCCAATCTTGTTAAATGAAGTCTTCAGCCATTCTTATTAATATAGGGCAGCAGCTACCTATCCAAATTTAGAATTACAACTGAATTTTTTACAAGCCTTATTTTGGTATTTGAGTAAAATTAACATACAAAGGGAAATACCTTCCTCAAGATTGGCAGTCTGTGGCCAAGGTAAACATAGTCCATGAAATTTGAGATTAATTGGATAAGAGGTTTGTCAATTATGACATGCAAAGAATTTCACCAGAGTCTAAATGTGTTTTTATAGTTACAGTATTTTAATAAAAAGAGAGAGAAGTTTTAAATTATGGTTTACTGGACTCATCAAGCTGAGCTATAATGCACAGAACCTAAGATGAGGTGATGGATTTAATCTTGTAAATAGCAGTGTTAGCATGGGTTGTTGAGAACTGAAGAGCTGATTTTTGGTTCCTGCAGTTTCTGAAAGAGTGCTGGGAATCAGAGCCAGGTTTGAGGGTAATTTGTTTTCCTCTTTGGATTTTTTTGCACAGAACCTGGGGAGGAAAGCATATTCCTAAATAACCATATTCAGATCTTTGGGGTTTTTTTTTTTAGTAAACTTGAAGTGGAATTTCCTGACTCTTTAAATTATGGTTGTTGGTAAACTAAAATATTATAAAAATCCTTATTGGACTTGTTATTGGGTGTATTCATTAGTACTTCTTGCAGCAACAGAGGAACAATTACTTTTTCCTCCCGCAGGACTCAGTAGGCTTTAGTTATGTAGGGTTGCCTCTTGTTACTCTCCTGTTGAGAGTATGTGTAGGCCTGTAGAGGAGAGAGTTGTAGCCTGCTGTGTAACCATTGTGAAATCTGGGAGTCCTTATCAAACCCAGATAATGCAGTCTGTGCTCTTCTAAAGTCCTTGCATTATAAGGCCCTTGTTGGGAAAAGAATTGATTTAAGAAAATATCAGAGATTAGAAGTAATGCTGAAATGTCTGAGGAAGTACCAAGCGTGAAGATATCAGACATATGGCCCACGAGCTGCAACACCAGAACTCGGACCTTTTTGAACCCCCTTCCCTCGCCCCACCTTCCCCAGCTGCCTGTCTGCTACTGTTCAGAAGGACTGGGAGGGAACCATACCCAAGTGGGAGAAGGCAAGGTGGAACCTTATTTGCTGATTGGACACAGACAATGAGACACTTCCCTCCCTATGTGTGATAGATGCCACAATGCTCCAAAGCTGGGGCTCATAGGAGGCTCTGTTTGAGTCTCCTTCCAGCTTTCTGGGAAAGGGCCCTTCCCCATTCCATGCCCTGCAGCAACCTCCTCCCCTTCTTTAACCCCCCACTGCCCCCCTCCCCCAACCAAGCACCAGGTTAGGGAAGACATTACTTACTGAACATCTCTTTCTGGGGAACTGAACTCTGAGATCCCCCAAGCGGGGGGGATGTACCATGGGAAGGAAAATAAAGGAGAGAAAAGATGAGGGGATGGTTAAGTGGTGTATGAGGGGCCGCGAGTAGGTTTCGGAGGGGTGCCAAGCAGGGCCAGCGTTAAGACTCATTGGGGCCCAGGACAGCCAGCCAAAGCTCCATTGTGTGGGTCTGAAGCCTGGTGCCTTGAGCCCTGCCACTCAGGGCTGAAGCCTGAGCTATGTAGCTTCACGGGGCTCCTGTGGCATGGGGCCCCAGGCAACTGCCCCGCATACTACCCCCAGCTCCGGCCCTCGCTTTTATATGCAGAAAATCACTTATTGTGGTGTAGGTGGGCCATGGAGTTTTTATAGCTTGTTAGGGGATTCAGAAAGAAAAAGGTTGAGAATTTCTGTTCTTGGTGTCCGTTATTAAGGTTAAACATCACAAGGCTGGCTGTAGGTCACTCAGTGGAAGGTGCAGGGAACCTGACCTTTTGAACAGTACAACAGCCTGAGCTTCAGGTCACAGTGCAGGACCTCTTTGTTTGGTTAGGCCTTTAACTCTTGCCTGTATTTTATCTTAATAGCTAGGAGTTGAAGATTCTTTTCAAAGACTTCTGTTGTGAAATATTGTTTTTGGTGATAGTAAGGTGGTGAGGCAGTAATTATCCTCAGTTTCTAAATAAACTGATTCCCAAATGCCTTCAAAAGGGAAAAGTAGAAATTTTCAGTTTATTTTTTGGTTGTTTGGTTGTTACATTGTCTGTTTCCTGTTTAGCTAATTCATGGCATACAGTAGAACCTCGGAGTTACGAACACCTCAGGAATGGAGATTGTGCGTAACTTTGAAATGTTTGAAACTCCGAACAAAATGTTGTGGTGGTTCTTTCAAAAGTTTCCAACTGAACAATGACTTAATATAGCTTGGAAATTTTACTATGCAGAAGAAAAATGCTGCTTTCCCTTTATTTTTTTAGTAGTTGACATTTTAACACAGTACTGTATTGTATTTTCTCCCCCCTCCCCCCCTCAATTGTGTACTTCTGGTTCCAAACGGGATGTGTGGTTGACTGGTCAGTTCATAACTCTGGTGTTCATAACTGCAGGTCTACTTTATATATTTCAGGCAGTTTTTTAGTAATGTTTATTTTTGTAATTTGTTGGTATTGTTGGAATGTTTCTTATTGTATTAGAAAAGTGGAAGTGACTATTGATAAACATTGAAAACTTTAAATTGCAAACAAATTAATGGAACAGGGACAGGCAAATGAGAATGTAATGAAATAGGAGGATTTCTCCTTGTATGGTGAATGTGCCCCAAAATTAAACATTTTGGAAAGCTGATTTCAGAAGGAAGATGATAGGGTGTCCAATAACCCCTGTGTGCTTTTATTAAATTGTCCTGAAAACTCTGCATCTTATAAAAGCCATAAGGAACTAATAACTTATCACCCAGAATTACTGTAGTATGGTTGTGGAAGGCCCTATTGTCTGGTATTGAAATGTGTGGAAAATTCTGGTGCTAGAAAAAGTAACTCAAGTCAGAGTTCTACAGGGGAGAAGGAAAAAAGGTAACTACCTAGAAGTCTGGTGGAACTTCTTGAAATTCGCTGGAAGAAGGTTATCGGCCACCACCATATCTTAGTTTGAGAACTTGTTTTAAGGCTGAGGAAGAAGGAAACACCATCAGTAATAGTCAAAATTAAATTAAAAATTGAGATATTAAAAGAAGGAAAAAGGAGAAACTTAATATCATGTAGAGTTTTGCTAGGACAGCTAGTAAACAAGTAAGAAAAACAGGTGGACCTAAATATGAGATAATGAAAGACTTTAACAGACTCTACTGACAAGACAGAAGAAGAAAGTAGAAAAGCATCAGCCACAATATCTGCTCAATACCATGAAGCTGAAGAAAGTGACTGGAAACAGGTCTCGTCAGTACAATTTCAGGGACTTGGATATGTGGACATAAGTTCACTTTCTCATTTCACATTATATAATTGGGCATCTAAACCAGTACAGTTGTTTCATTCTTCTTAGAACTCTTAATAGGATGTGAATCTACCATATTCACATGTTCACACTGAGCTCATCTTCATGGAGTCTCACATAAAGATGTTAAGAGAAGCTAAACTGGGAAGGCATCCTGTAGAATTGATAAATACATCTTTTATGGATATCAAAATATACAAATGTCTGTTAAAATTGAAATGAAGAAACTCTTTGAATGGCTGTGTGAAGTGAATTTTTCCAACCAGAACAATGCGCAGTTTGTAATACATTTAGCAGTAACTGACTGTCTGTCTTCACAGGTCTGCAAAGAGACTGCTTGACCAGATAGTTGAAAAGGGAAGACCGACACCTGGCTTTCATCATGGTGATGGACCAGGAAATGCTGTCCAAGAAATTATGATTCCAGCTAGTAAGGCAGGATTAGTTATTGGAAAAGGTGGAGAGACGATTAAGCAACTTCAGGTAAGTTTTAAACATGGGTGGGTGTGGGGGTGCGTGTGTGTGTGAGAGAGAGAGAGGTCAGACTTTGGAATTGCATGGAAATTCAGTTTTATATTGTCAAATAGGAACGAGCAGGAGTCAAAATGGTCATGATTCAAGATGGGCCACAGAACACTGGTGCAGACAAACCTCTTAGGATTACAGGAGACCCTTACAAAGTTCAAGTAAGTAGTTTGTTTCCAAGTTTTATCTTTTTTTATGTATATCAAAACAATTTTAAAATTATAGAATCTAAAATACATTTATTTCTTCTTTAGCAAGCCAAGGAAATGGTGTTGGAGTTGATTCGTGATCAAGGTGGCTTTCGAGAGGCGCGCAATGAATATGGGTCAAGAATAGGAGGAAATGAAGGGATAGATGTACGTATGGTTGAAAATCTATTGTTCACTATGTACACCTCTACCCCGATATAACACAAATTCGGATATAACGCGGTAAAGCAGCGCTCTGGGGGGCGGGGCTGCGCACTCCGGTGGATCAAAGCAAGTTCGATATAATGCGGTTTCACCTATAACACAGTACGTTGTTTTTTGGCTCCCGAGGACAGCGTTATATCTGGGTAGAGGTGTACTTTGAGACTGTTTAATAATGTTAAAAGCTAGTTAATACCAATAGCTCTTTAACTGTATCCCAAAGTGATTATGGCACATAGGTATCACTTGCTCACCACCTAAATACTACTATCTCTTTGTGGAATGCAGCAGCCATCTTGTGCCAGCAATAATGAACAGCAGTTTCTGTTGCTTTGGAGGTGTTTTAATCCTTTTTAAGAGGAAGTGAAGAAAAGTCTAGTTAAAACTATAGAGTGAAGAATGTAATTACACAAGTTGGAATTTGGGCAGCACACAGAGGTGTTTAATCCTAGCTGTTGTAAAAGCCAGGGAATTGTAAATGACCGTGAGTGGTGAGGGTTCCTGTTGGGAGTTATTGTTTGATGACACCAGTATCCTAGGCCCCCTAACACCTTGTTCAGGCATTGATTGGGGGAAAACCACCATCTGCTGAAGTGATGCCTCTATCACAGCCTGTGGTGTCTAGAATTTATTTCCCCTTTTTTGGCCATCCCATCCATTTACTGGCTAGGATCATGATTCCGTAGTTGCTTAGATTTGACAAGATTGCAGGCTGAGGTGGTATGGTTGGTGACCAGTTCAATTTTCCAGTATTCCTTTTTATTGTGGCCTTTGGTAGGAATATTCGTTGTTTCAAGATATTGACGATGTATTCTCTTAAGGTCCCAATACCACGATTTGCTGTTGGTATTGTAATTGGAAGAAATGGAGAGATGATCAAAAAGATACAGAATGATGCTGGTGTTAGAATCCAGTTTAAGCCAGGTGAGTGGAGGGTGTGTGTGTAAATGTTGATCAACTTAGCTTTATTTTTAAGTAAAACATGGCTGAATGTAATATTTAAATTCATTATTCCAGATGATGGAACAACTCCAGATAGAATAGCCCAAATTACAGGACCTCCAGACAGATGTCAACATGCTGCAGAAATTATTACAGACCTCCTTCGAAGTGTCCAGGTTAGCTAATATTAATAATATTTTGTGCAAAAAATAAAATTTCAGCTTGAGTTAGGAAAAATCCATGTGTTAGCTGTCTGTCCATTTTAATAACCTTACTTAATGGTAGTTTTTGGGTCTGTGTGGAAAACTGAGCATGGATTATAAAACATCCTTGTTTGCAGTTCTTAAAGTGTCGATGAGGTTACTCTTTATATTATAAAAAAAAAAAAAAATCAGTGTTAGTTTAAAGCCCATAGCAATGTCTTGTCCTGGCTATTCTAGAGCTACTTTTATTGAGTTGACAGTTGTCTGTTAGTGCACTACCTGCTTTTAATCAATCATAATCTTGTGGTGGTTATTAACCCTTTATCTAGTCACTGGCTAACGGTCCCACAATTACATCTGATATAGGCAGGCAGTTGTGTTTTGCTGTATTGTGAGGAACTCTCCTTTTCCCTGTGATATCAGTCTGTTTTTTGCTCTACCACACTATTTTTAAAGCTTTAACTTTTTTTAAAAATGTGGGTTGAGACAAAAGGAGTGGTTTCAACATTTTTATATTTTCTGTCTGTGAGTACCTCCCTCCTAGCTGCAGAAATTCAGGGTACTGTATGTTATCTTCTTTTAAAAATAAAGCAGCAATTGTTCGTTTAACTGCATGCTTCAGTTGTGTATTACCTTCTGCTCAACTCTTCAGGGGGAGCTATGTTTAGTGCATATGCTTCAACTATGTGCTAAATCAGATGCAGGAGCATGAAAGCTTCCTATTCAGACTTTTCTGACCAGGGCACTGAAGGCTAGCACAGTTACCCCCTTCTTTATGTGCATGTGCGCGCACACAAAACTGGAATGTGCTTTTTCCCCATACCTTTCTGAACCCTGTCCCCTATATCCAGCCACTACTGCCTTCACTTCCACTTACAGGATGCCATGTGGTCTTCCCTCCCTCCTTTTGTACCTCAGAGTGATTTTGAGGAAGACCACTGGACTCCTGTGGTATGTCAGTACTTGGGGTAATCTGGAAATGAAGCAGGAACATAAAATGAGTGAAAGCACTTCAATGAAAAATCCTTATTCAACTAAATGTTAACTATATACATTACTGGTGTGTGGGTGTGGGTGTGTGTGTGTGTATATGTATGTATGTATATGTATATATATATACACACACACACACACACACACACAAAAATAAAAAAGCCTCTAAATGTATTAATCTGACACTTGTTAGTTGGCAGTGGGCTTTGTTCTATAGTCACATGTTGTCACTAATGAATTAATTGTGGTAAATGAGGCAGTAAATAGTGTGTGCTAACTTGTAGCTTTTCCCCCCATTAGGCTGGTAATCCTGGTGGTCCAGGACCTGGTGGTCGAGGAAGGGGTAGAGGCCAAGGCAACTGGAACATGGGGCCTCCTGGTGGATTACAGGAATTTAATTTTATTGTACCCACTGGAAAAACTGGATTAATCATTGGAAAAGGCAATATATTTTAAACTAAAATATATTCTAACTAGAAATCATAGTACTTAATATTTTTGTGTTATTAATTATGCCAGAAATCTTTGCAAAAAGTGCATTGATTTTTTTCAGCTTAGTTTAACAGTAATCACATTGTATCCGTTTTGATTAATGCAGCACTAATTTCCTTTTTCTTTAGGAAAGAATGGTTATTTCTGGTAGCCAGAGTAATGTGCATCTTGCTAAGATTATTTAAATATAACAAGAAGTCTGAAGTTTTTAAAACTAAAGGCTGAAATGTTAAGTGCAAGTAACTGTTCTTCATCCAGTATGATCTTAATTTAGACTTTCCTTATCACACATACTGTAATTGTCACAAAAGAAATCTCTGCACTTTTCAGCAAAGATCCAATAAAATGAAGTCTCATTACTAAGTTTTTATTTTTACAGAAATATCACAATTTATAGAAGATTAGAATTAAATATTATAATTAAAACTTAAGATGCACTACACTCTCAGATGAGATATACTCTTGATTGTTACCCATGTCTTTTTATTTACTCATTTGTAATGAGTCTTTCAGACAGTACAAATTATTGATATGTTGTAGTTCATCTTTTGACTTGGAATACTAGTGCATGGTTTAAATGGACACAAGCTTGCATCTCCCATCCGAAAACTGTGTAGCTATCAGTGTTATAAGTAACATCTGAAATTAGTGCAAATGGAGGAGACTAGAGGGAAATGTTCTTATCTTTTCAGTTAGTTTACTTGTGCGCAGTTGGTAGCACATGTTCAACAATTAACTTCACTGTTTGGTCAGTTGCATTTTCTGTCATCCATACTAACATGATGACACCATTCATGCACTGCTCTAGAGGAGCTCAGGTATGTGCTCTTCAACAGACCGGAAAAAATCTTGTGGGTGGTTTTTTTTTTTTTTTTTGTGCGTTTGTTTTTTAAAGCACATTATTTGGAAGGTGGGCTTTTCATTAGTCAGTTAAAATTGTGTCCTTTTAAATTCAAGTTGAGGTTCTTCCTTTTTGTGCATTCTGTGTTTTTTCCCTGTATTGTATCTTGTTCTTAGTATATTACATAACTCGCAAATAAAACTTTTCTCCCTTCCTCTGGTATTTTTTTAATTAACAAAATCTACAGATTTCTGTATGCATAATTTATCTTATTGAACACTTCTGTGAAGTGTGTATATCTGTATATAATTTTAGACATCTGTGGCTCTTCCTGTCTAATACTTTGTTACAGTTTAAATAAGTGAGACATGTCTGCATATGCAAGAAAGGCACTATTCTATGACTTTCTTACTGAACTGATTTTCAGATACTGATATTGTCTTGCAGTCTCTTCCCTTGGGGCTGGTGTTTTGTTTGCTTTTTGGTGGGTGGGTGTGTTTGTTTTTATTTTGTGGCTGGGTCCTTACTGTTTACAATATGTCAGACCCAAGGAAATATTTAATTTTTTTGTATACCTTGTGTAACTGAAAAGAATAGATAGGTTATCAACTCTGTAATTCAGTAGTTTCCTTAATTTCTTGTAAATGGCTTTTGCCTATATCTTATTTAGTATGTTAAGTTAAATGTCTTGCCATCAAAGGTTGGATGTTTTGATTACAGGTGGTGAAACTATCAAAAGCATAAGTCAGCAATCTGGCGCTAGAATAGAACTTCAGAGAAATCCTCCACCAAATGCAGATCCTAACATGAAGTTGTTTACTATCCGCGGGACACCACAGCAAATTGATTATGCTCGGCAACTTATAGAAGAAAAGATTGGAGTGAGTATTTGGAGAGGCATTTTTAATTGCTGTAAAGGCCCACTGGTACACTCATCCCTTATTGCTTCAAGATACAATTGAGAGAATACAAGAAGTTGAATGGAATGGCTGAGGCTGTTTTCTATTTCTTCCCTCTTCTGGGTTGCTTGTTCAAATGTTATTAACTGGTTGATAGTAACTAAAAGCTGTTAATAATCAGCATCTGATTATGTTTACATGTCTCATTTTACAATCACACACTAATTTGCACTCTTGATGGTAGTCTGAGAGGTGAAGGATTAAATGGGAAGAAGATAGAATGACTGTTTTCCAGTTTGCAGTTTTTGCTGTTCTTCCGCTGTGGATAATGAAGAATTTGACAGCCTAGGAGACCAATTTGGGTCCACTAATCTATTAAGTTTAAAAAAAAAAAAAAAAAAAAAAAGCTACATTAAACACTTAACTTAAATCTTTACAAACTCCTCTTACTCTCTTCATGTAGATTTCTGTTTCAGTCATGGCTCATAATGTAGTCTTGCTGCTTTTTCTATTTAAATAATTTTTGTTTGCCTGCACATAGTTATAATTTATTATTGACTTATTTTATTTTCAGTTTTTGTGCATCTGAATTTGTAATTGAGTATCTAAGTACGCAGACAATGAACAATCAGACTAAAAAACCTGTATTGATTTTTATACAATGCTCAGAATAGCTCATGCATAGTTAAGTAATGTTCTTTTTTGCAGAGAATTGAACTGAAATGATATCCTTGTTTAAAAGTAAAAGTTGTCATATTTAATTTTTCTAAATGAATTCTCTGGTTGAAATGAAGAATGACTTGATTTATATCTTCATTCAGAACATTCATATTCTCTGGCTTTTTTTTTTTAATTCTATTAGTAAAGTTTAAGCCAGTGGTTGTCTAATTACTGACTCTCAATCATCAGTTGTACATGAACATAAAGACCTTTCTGGTGGTCAACAGAATGAAGTATTTTGATTTTTTTGAATATCTTGATACTTTAAACCTGCTGTTGTTGGTTATTAGGAGAGGTTGTCCATAAACAGTGTGGGTGTTGCAGTGGTGTGGTCCTTGAGAACCAAATCAATGGGAGGAAGGCATTGGAGTGCTAGCTAGGAAAGAATTCCTAATGAATTAGTGCTTGGAAAGAAAAGTTTAGAGAACACCCGGGTGAAAATTCAGACTTGTGTTTCCAGTGTGTGAAAACCTGGGGGTCACTCTTCCCCTGCCCACTTCTTTCCTGTTCTAGGGTCCAGTAAATCCTTTGGGTCCACCTGTTCCTCATGGGCCCCACGGTGTTGTTCCTGGCCCACATGGACCTCCTGGCCCACCAGGTCCTGGCAATCCTATGGGACCTTATAATCCTGCTCCTTATAATCCAGGGCCTCCTGGTCCAGCACCTCAGTAAGTAACACTTCAATTGTCTTATTTTTTTAAAAGGTGATTCTCAAATTGGATTTCATTGCATGTGGCTCTGTCTTTTACAGTGGCCCTCCAGCCCCATATGCTCCACAAGGGTGGGGAAATGCCTATCCACACTGGCAGCCACCAAATCCACCAGATCCAGGTAAGAAATTCAGACTTTTTACAAAAAGTTGTGTTCAGGCACACGTTCAATGCATGATTGTACATGGCGTGCTTTTAAAAGTGTGTTTTTCTTTTTATTTGTACGAGTAAATCTGAAAAGCTGTTTCTCCTTGGAATCTACTTCATTGATACCCACGCTGAATGTGCACTTTTACATATACCATGTTGGTGGTGAACTGTGGAAAATCAGTTGTCAGCATAATCCAGCTTTTTCTTTCTTTCTTGTTAGGGAAGACATACATTGGGGGCATGCATCCCAATTTCACTTCCGTTTTCCTAGTCGGATATCAGGATTATTTACGGTGTTGAAATGAAGTTTTCTTTTCCTATTAAATTCGCCTTTTGTGTTTGTGCCCATTTTCTTCAGAGAGACCACTATGTCAGATGCATTGCTCTGAGGCATTATGCTTCTGTGATCCTCTCCAACAAATAGATTTGGAGTTTTACATTTGACCAATGTCCCTTCTAATTGATCAGTGAACATGGTTTCTCACTATTTCTGCTGTAACTAATTTTTTTCTCAGTAAGTGGTGGTGTTGATTCAGATGATATTAAGCCCCTTAAGTTGCTCCAAACTTTCCATGTTTCTCTTCCCTGTTTTGAGGGGTGGGTATTCTTCAGAACTTTCAGGCCGTCTTCTAATTTAATTGAAGTTGTTAAGGATCATCAGGTTCTGGGATTTCATTCTTAGTACTTAATTATTTTTTTCATAATCTATTCTGAAGTCCATCCTCTTTTAGAAATCTTCAGCTGAAGAAACTTTGAAAATAACCACAGTCTCTATTTATCATCATTGTATTGAGAAATTGATGATTTTTATAGGAGGCAAATATTCATGGTGTTACTCTTCCAATGCCAACATCTTAAATGCAGTATTTTCAGTTTTGCATTGCCTTTTTTTAACCTTGGGCACATGTTTGTTTGCAGAATATTTACATTTTGGCAGAGCACAAATATGATTTTGAAGCTCTGTTCCTGCTGTCTACTGTACAAAAGATTCATCAATAATCCCAACTAGTGCTAGATGTAAATTTTTCTCTCAAAACCATTTTTGAATGAAAATTGGATGTTTTAGAAAAGAAAAATTGCTTCTGTGGAAAAAGTCCAGCTTTCAATTGAAAAACCGAACACGAGTAAATGGGAATATTTTTCGGTTTTGGCTGCAAATTGAAAAACTTCCAATTGGAAATGCTGCTGTTTTATGGAAGTTTCAAGCTACATCTACGCTAGAAGCGCTGCAGCATTGCAGCTGCACTGATGCAGCTGTGCTGCTGCAGTGCTTCTGGTGATGATGCTCTTAGCCGACGGGAGAGCTCTCCTGTTGGCCTAATTTCTCCACATCCCACGAAGGGCAGTTGGCAAGAGAAGCTCTCCTGCCAACATAGCGCTGTCTAAACTGGTGCTAAGGTTGGGCGGGGGTGTGGATTATTCACACCCGAGTGATGTAAGTTATACCGAAGTAAGTTCTAGTGTAGACAAGGTCATAGTTTATTTCGTTCCCTTTCTGGACTATAGATCCTGGGGTACACTACTGCTGGGGACACCTATGATGTATGGATCAACAGGAGGGAGACTGTGGTGCAGATATGGGAGATGTAGTCTAACCAGGAGCCTGGGCTGTAGATAATAGGGGCATGAGGCACCCAAACCTTAAATTCCATTAGTCACTACAGCATTTTCAAATTGAAATTGTTTTAAACCAAAAAAAAAGGGAGGGGGGGTGGTTTCAGTTATTCACAAGAAGTCAACATTTTTGGCGGGGGAAGTCAATTTCTGACCAACGCTAGTCCGGACACAGCAATTCTAATGATGGAGAACTTTTGGCCATCTCTACTGTGAGCAGAGTTCTTTTTCTTCATTTTACTGGTCTTTCAGTCAAGCATCATCTTCAAATTCTAGTTTTCTGACCTATGTAACAGCACTGGAGATGCAGATGTAGTAATGCATATAAAAATGTGCAGAGCAGAGCTATTCAAAGTAATTTCTCTCTGACAGTTTCCTTTGATGGGGCTAGAGTTCATTTCATCCTTTTTCTGTTACACACTAGAGAGCACTGTAATCAGTTTACATCTATGGGTAGCCCAATTCAAACTTTCAGTAAATTAATTTGCGAACTGCATGGGAGTGCAGAAGCAAAAGAATGACAAACCTTGATCTTGGTGTTTGTATTCTCTCAGTAAATATTCAGCGTTCAGTCAAGGAGTGACTCAATTTACAGTTAGGGGTGGCATTAGGGTGGTACAGGTGTTACTTGGTGCTAGCGTAGAGATCATAGGATCAAACTGAAATAGTGTAATTGATTAACTGAAGTATAGTATCAGTGTTTTAGAATATGTAGGAATCAATGGACCAGATCCTATCCCTTGCTTTGCTCTGTTCTGCAGCCACAAAGCGAACTAATTGGCTACACAAGAATTCCCCTGGTGTTGGGGTAGGGCTGGCATAACAGCTCCTACACTACCCCCTTTCAGCAACCCTTTCCCTTTCACCACATCTTCTAAAAAAAAAAAAAGTTAAATCTCTGTAAGTTGTTCCTTGGGACCAGCCAAAAGTCTTAAATGTCCTCCCAGAGATCTGGCCCGGTGTTATAAAATACTTAACTTCAAAATTCTTATATTTAGAACGTGCTGTTTTAGTGATGTGTGCATTTTCAGTATTTGACTTTCATTTTCTTGTAGTAATATTTCATTGTTTTCTGTTTCTTTTCTAAGTTCTCTTTTCTCCTCTGCTCTATCCCATTAATTCTCTCCAGAGCATCTATTTAATTCTCTCCATCTGTTCAGTTTGTGTTTCTCCCTCACTGTTTTTGTCCATGGGTGCAGTTTCAGTCATCCTTTTCCCTTATGCTTAATTCTGTCTTGAGAATCCCAGTAGTATTTTTTTTTTTTTTTTTTTTTTTTTGCCTCCAACTCTGTTGATCAGCCATCCATGTTCATATACAGGTGTCCATAAGCTTCAAGAACACACATCACATTTTCTGCTGAGCCACATGAAGTTTTCCAGTCCCTGATGTGCCTGAAAACCTCTTTTTGCAAACTGGTGGTGTAATTATCTTCATGTTGTTCAGCAGAAAGAGTGAATTGTTCCTAAAAGGTGAATGTGGATAAATGGGAGAACCAAGGAGATTGGAAGCAAAGACATTTGAGACTCTAGCTATAATTAAAAATAATGCATGGAAGGGAAAGAGATGATCAGATATGTAGAAGGTGTAACAGTGGTTACATAGTTTACACCTTTTAACAGATAAAACTGTAAAATTGCCTGATATTCATAGTTATGAAAGGATGGGCATTCTGGATCTTGGGACACTTGTTGCATATTCCAAACGATTAACACTGTCGTTAATTTTTAACAGGGAAAACAGGTTAATTGCAAAACTATGCCAAAACTTATTTAAAAGAATGAAACTCCATTGCTAAAACCATCTCACTATATCCATACTTACCCCAAAATGATGCTGTTAGTGTGAGATTACATTGGGAAAACTTTTGTTGAAATTCTGATTTACGTTAGTTGATCAAAACAAAAAATGTCCGTGTTACAGAGCTATGGACATTTTAAAATAAAAATAAAATGAAAAAATCTTTGAATTCCTGGACCACACCTCTAACAATGTAAATTTTATAATTGGGCTGCTAAAACACCCATAAGTCAGCAATATTGTACAAAAGTACACTTTGCAGCACATATGTAATTTACTATACTAAACCCCCTTTCCCCCCATGACAGATTGTGTGCTGTAATAAGAAAACATGACAGTGAAGCTGACTTGGTTAATGTGGTAACCTTAGCTCAGAAATTTTCTTCATAACCTCCATTTTTAATGTATTTGTGTTTAATATAACCAAATTCAGTTGATCTTAATGGGTTAAAATGAATTTACAATATACATATAGCTATGTTAAAAATTAAGTATTTTATTAAGATTTCTCAGAGAAAAAATTAGGAATGCCAGAAAAAGACTTGATCTGTAAGATTTTTTTTTTTTACAAAGCCGCCTGCTTACACAATATATATAAGTGACGGTTTATTTCTTAGGTAAACCAGGAACAGATCCCAATTCAGCAGCGTGGGCAGCTTATTATGCTCACTACTATCAGCAGCAAGCACAGCCGCCACCTGCAGCCCCTCCTGGTGGACCACCTACAACCCAAACTAATGGACAAGGTACACAGATCAATCTGTTACAAGTTAAAACTGCTCAGTACTGAAGGAAAATAGTAGCCCACCTAGACTTTTATCCTGTTACTGTTGGTTGGGTTCTCCCATACAAGGGCTACTTTATTGCATATTAGCCTATTGTGTTCAAAAATCCTTACTTCTAGTGCCAAAGCTATAAACTTGCAGCTTTGCTTCAGGTTCATGAGTGTTAGGAATAATGTTTAAAATAGAGGTTCTCAACCAGGGGTACGCGTACGCAGAGGTCTTCTGGGGGATACATCAACTCATCTAGATATTTTTGCCTAGTTTTACAACTGGCTACATAAAAAGCATTAGTGAAGTCAGTGCAAACTAAAATTTCATACAGATAAAATGAGAAAGTAAGCACTTTTTCCATAATAGTGTGCTGTGACACTTCTGTATTTTTATGTCTGATTTTGTATAGCAAGTAGATTTTAAATTTACAGGTGCAGACTCAATTGATATGTCGGGTTTAAACCAATATGAGAGTCCAAGCACAAAGTCATACCAGTTTAACTAAATCAGTATAAAATCACACCATGATTTATATCTGTACAACTTCGTGTGTTCACCTGGTCTAAAATATTTTAGACTGCAAGTGGCATTTGCACAGCGTGTGAGTGTTATAGATTTCTTGCATTCTTGAGAAATTTAAAGTATTAAGTTTTGATATTAGTTATTTGATATAGATATTTGATATTAATAAGAATTATTGTGTACAGTTTTGTTATTTTAGCGTTGGCTAGTAAATAAGCTTATTTTTATAGTGTGTTGTAGCAGATTAATTGCATTCATAAGTAAATTATATGTAAATATTTAAGCCATTTTTTGTTTCAAATTAATTGATAGCTGGATGCCTGGAAATGTTAGTATACAAAAATTTTGTTTAAATATAGAACTTAATTCATGCATTATTTTATTTTTACTTTCTGTAAATCAGGAGAACAACCAAATCCAGCACCAGCAGGGCAGGTTGATTACACCAAAGCTTGGGAAGAGTACTACAAAAAAATGGGTATGTTATTCATTTTTGGTTTGTTAACAAAGTAGATCTTTGTAAGGGGAAAATGGTGTTCACATTTGATTTGGCAGAGTTTTAGCAATAAAAATATAACTGTTTAATGCCACAGTCAATTGGCTTAGGTTCTTCTATTGTAGTAATTGAGCACATTGTGCCAGGAAATCTGACTGTAATTAAAATAAGATTTAAGATATCTTTTCATTGTGCTAGCGATCAGCAATGGGCAGTGTTCCACATTTGGGGAGGGAAAGTGTATATTTCTTCTTAAATTCTTTTACTCCCTAACTGGCGTTGAGGAACAGATGTAGAAGTGTTTTTGGTTTTAACCAAGCAAACATGATTTCCAAGAAACTACATTGTGTAATGTATGAAATATCCCGTATTTAATTGTCGAGTGGAAAAGTAGCATTATTTTTTAATCTTTTTCAACGTAAATACATATTTTTAAAAATCCTCCAGTATTTGGAGTTCATTCTTTCTTTTATGTTGCCTTTGGGAATCTGGAAATTCGAGGTGTGTTTTATAAAGCTGTTGTATATCTTCCTGGTTTGGAAGTTCATCGATTTAACATTTGCTCTTAGGTGACCACTTACGTCTTTTTATTTTTATTATTGTCTTTTGTTTGCTCTAGCTTTTTATAATAAAGCTTGCTACAAATGAATGCCATTTCTATAGGTTTTATATGGCATGTCCTATTTTTTAAATCTGTTATTAGGTGTTCAACAGCTAAGTGCTATAAACTAAATCATAAAGATAGTGCTTGTTCTTAGCTTTGGCCTGGTCTACACTACCCCCCACTTCGGACTAAGGTACGCAAATTCAGCTACGTTAATAACGTAGCTGAATTCGAAGTACCTTAGTCCGAACTTACCGCAGGTCCAGACGCGACAGGAAGGCTCCCCCGTCGATGCCGCGTACTCCGCTCGCCGAGCTGGAGTACTGGCGTCGACGGCGAGCACTTCCGGGATCGATCCCAGAACATCGATTGCCTGCCGCCGGACCCTCCGGTAAGTGTAGACATACCCTTTGACTAGCTTTTTAAAAAAATAAAAGTGAAACTTGTGATTCTTTGAAGGGATATGTGTTTCACTTTGCTGTTTAGTTGTCAGTCATTTCTTTATTTCTCCTTCCTTGAATAAGGAAGGAATATTTGGCACTGATGTGTCAGACCTGCTAGTAGGTGCTAATTTACTTTTCTGGGGCATGACATCTTCTCCCATTTTGCACATAATCTCGTTCATGGGTCTAAGCCTCATCCTTAGGCATACTCCAGAATTTCTGCCTCTGGCCATGCAAATAATAGCAGCTTTGATTTCTCACTTTTTCCATTACCACACTTGTGTTTAAAAAAGCAGACTGGAATAGCAGTGAGCAGTATTTCTCTTCTTTTCAGCCTTCATCCAGGGGCAGTTTTTAGGGGCATCGTTCTCCAAATTAAACCATCCATCAGGCTCCTTTACCTCTATTTCTTCTTTTCCTGAGCATGATAGTCGTGACCAAATGGAGCAGATGAAATGTTTAAGAGGTCTTCCATCTCAGGAGGGGGAGTTCTGTCACAATTCTCCCAGCCTAAAAACACTCTGCCAAAACTCCGTTCAGATTCTTAAGGTTTGTTGGGCTTTTCCATTCTTTCCCTTAACAGCTCAGACTTCTTTTCAAGGGTGAGTCAGTCCTATTCAGATCCTGTTTAATGCCTGTGAATCTGCAGTCGGGTCAATCCTTGCTGTTCATGGATTCTTCACAATAACTCCCTCCCCATTGGTCCAGTCCACGCCTAAGGCAACAAGCTCTAGAGTCTCTTCACATTCTTAAAGGGATAATTGCAGTCCTGCCAAGAAATCTGGTATTTGTTCTGACTTGGTTTCCCTCCGAAGAAGGATCGAGGCTCCTTCAGGGACCTTTCCCTTCATTTCCTTTCCAAGTGCATATCAGATGATGAAGGGTGCAGGGCTCAGAGCATGGGCAAGTCCTGAAAAAGGGACCAGTTCTCAGATGGGGGAAAAAATTCACCTTTCAAAAGGTAAGGCAAAAAATACCAAAAGGGCAGGACAAATGCAATTCAATAGTTGGGAAGCATTCCAGATCCTTATCTTTCCCCTCCATCTCCAGCTGTAGTTAATCTCATGAAAGGAGTACTCTTGACTTTAAATCTTCATAAGCCTGAGACAGAGAACCAGGAGAGGTCATTTCTCCACAGACCTGTTCAAGGTAAAGGGGAAGGAAGGTGATTTTCCCCATCGAGATCCATCCAAAATGGAGGATGAACAATTTAGATCCAAGGGCAAATATTATTCAGTATTAAGTTAGAATTTGCAGTTCCCCTTCTCTTTCTTCAAAGAGGTTGTAAAGGAGGAATGGGAGATTTCTGACATGGGGAAGAGATTGTCAGCAAGACATTATGCTCTGTAAGCTTTCAAAACCCCAAATACTCCCTCCTCGATAGTTGCAGTTGTACTATCCCTTGTAACCCATCTAGTAATTCCTGGCAGGAAGATAGAAGCCACCTTTCATAGAGACTGGGAAGCTTCATCAGTAGTACTAGGAGCTACTCTGGTAATTACATGTTTCACGAGAGCAAATGCTTGCCACCGCTCCCAGAACCACGATAAGTTTTAAGTTGGTTATGAAGAAAGTTATTCTTAGCTATTGTATTCATAGTGATGGGTCCATGATTTTCATGAGGTTAGCAGCAAGGGCCATGGCAGCAGACTCCATGGCCAAACACCCACCAACTCCATCTTAAACACAGGACTGCAGATAATTACACTATGCAAATTCACCATCTCAAAATTCTCAAGTGGAACCCTGTTTGAGGAGAAGCTTGAAAAGCTGGTAAGTGACAGTTTGGACAAACCAAATTACTTGCTACCCACTCCAGCATAGTCAAAATGGACTACAAGCACATATACAATGGCAGAAGTTCTTTTTTTTCCTACGAACATCAAAGATGATACCATCTTATTTCAAGAATAAAGACTGGGCATGAAATACCAGGGAGAAAGGCAGATTAGGAAATGTGTACTTTCCCTCCTTTCAGTCCAAACCATTAATGTGGCTGTAAGCGAGTCTGCCTCTGCCCAGGGCTAGGAGGAAAGATACCACGCTCTTCAGACTCGTGACTCGGACAGTGGGTACTAGAGAGCATAGCAAGAATACTTTGGAATTGTCTCCTCCACATTCTTCCTTCTTTCTGTTTCAAACCTTGAAGAGTAACAAACATCAATCCATCCTGAATAACACATTTATTGCAAGTTGGGGCAATAGAGCTTGTCCTTTTAAGACCAAAGATACCCCATGGTCTACTCTATTTTCATATTAAGCAATAGATCAGGTGCAGTCCAGATCATCCTAGACCTCAAGAAACTGAACAGGTAGCTGAAGATTAAAATACAGGACATTCTTCCAGTATAGCAGCAGAACCTCCTGCATATGACCTGATATTGCTGGACCCTGGCAATATCTTAACTGCCATCAGCAGTTCATCAATTTCACCTACCAAACTGGTGCTGCCAGTGCAGAGTATTGCAGTTTGGTCTATCCTCTGCCTCCAGAGTTTTGTTGAAAATAATAGTGGTGATAGCAAGACTCTGGACTGTAGAAACTCATATATACCCCTTGTTAGACAACATAGTTGCTTAGCAGTTGATAAATACAAGGAGGGCCAGTATGTTCCTGACATAAGAAAAGCTTGACTAGATTCAGGCACTGATCTAAGGCAGGGATAGGCAACCTATGGCACACATGCCAAAGGCGGCACGCGAGCTGATTTTCAGCGGCACTCACACTGCCCTGGTCCTGGCCACCGGTCCGGGGGGCTCTGCATTTTAATTTAATTTTAAATGAAGCTTCTTAAACACTTTAAAAACCTTATTTACTTTACTTACAACAATAGTTTAGTTATATATTATAGACTTATAGAAAGAGACCTTCTAAAACCATTAAAAAGTATTACTGGCATGCGGAACCTTATTTTAGAGTGAATAAATGAAGATTTGGCACACCACTTCTGAGAGGTTGCCGACCCCTGATCCAAGTATTACGTTGTGGAGAAACACCAGTCCATCCTTACCTGCAGCTCCTAGGTCTTTTGGTCACATGAATAAATGCAAGACTGCATGTGAGTTTCAGGAGTTCCAGAACCATTCAAACAAGATGCAGAGGGAAATGTGATTGTCCCTCTGCTGGTAGAAACAGGAAGTCCATGTGATGATAGAACCTTCCCTTCAGTCAAGAGGCCAGCCTTTTCCATAGAACCAGCTTCCTAGGGATGAGAAATCAGGTTGGCTGTTCTGGCAGTCAGGCAACACAATGATCATTACATATATAAATCAATGAGTGGGTGCAAAGAATCTCAATCTAAATGCTTAAGTGTGAATTCTCCTATTTCAATCAAGATGATCAAAATAAAAGGACACTGAAAACAAAAATGGACTAAGTTTTCATCAGCTACACAACCCAGAATAGGTTGAATGAAGAAGTATTCCAGCAAATATCCAAAGAGCCAATCTGCCCCCATATAGGTATATTTCCATCCAGTTGGAATGGAGAGTTAAGGGAAACCAGACCAAGGTTAACTGGGGATATGTTCTTGCTCACAGAGGGCCTAAATGGTTTTTGTGTGCTTCCAAGGCCCCCTCCCTTCCACTGTAAAGAGAAGCAATTAAAAAGATGAAGGCATAATCATTGTTAACACAGATTGGACCTACTGGGATTATCCTAATGCTCTTAATTTCAATTTCTCACCAATTAAGATGCTCTGTTGCAGAGCCTGCTGCAGAATCTCAAACTTGACTACCTGAAACTGACAGCTTGGTCACTGATCATCAAGTCCTAAATAGGATGGGATGTTCATCTGAAGTAAAACTCTTCTAGCCTTTCATCTTCTCTGCCTACACACAAATTTGGACAGAATTCTTCCTAATGCTTGGAGAGAGATCCTAGGAAATCAGAAACTGTAGTTCTGGATTTCTTTGGTCTGAAATCTCCCACCTGTTTGTTTTTGTCTCAGCATTAAATAGTGTTATAAGCACAGATCATCGAAATATTAAGCAGATAGATCAGGATTCCATAGGGTAGTACATCTATCCAAACCAGCAGTCAGACCTGTCTTCTCTTCCTGTGGAGCTGCAGTCTTCATAACATATTCACTGAGACCCAAGATGTAAATTCCATATATTTTCTTTACATAATCATGATTCCGGGTTGCAATCATGTCAGCAAGAAGTGTCTCTGCTCTTAGAAGGCACAAGCTTTACTTTTTGCACACACAGTCACTATTCCAGAATAATTCCCAGAATCAGTAATTATAAAGGGACTTCTTTCCATACATCAGGAGAGTTCATTCTTTAGTTTTACTCAAAGCTTCAACACTCTAAAGAGCATTGCACATTCTGGGTATGAGACGCACTCTTAGATTTTATCATTGTAGAATCTTCTAGTTCAGGATGTAATCATTGTTTTCCTTTACCTTACGTACCTGGGCCTGAAAATGTCTAGATTTTCATAGTCAAACTCTGCATTAGTGAGGTTCAAAGATAAGCAGTCTGAGTGCCCATTCAGCATGCTCTGCAGTAACATCTTGGCAGATGATGAAGCATCAGCCACCACAGAAGAATCAGAAAATGTGCCAATTGGTTACCCATTAACATGTTTATAAAATGCTTGACCTTAATTCCTGTTCAGAAGCATTGTTCAGAGGTCCCCAAGTACCATACTAATACTTAAGGAAGGAATTCCTCTCCTTCCTTATTGCCCACTACAGCCTAGAGTTTAACTGGTAGAGAGGTAATTGTTAAGAATAAAAAAATTAACTGCTTTTCTGGGACTTTGCCTCCTCTCTTAGTCTGGCTTCTTTGATAAGTCTTTCATGTGCTTCTGCAGTGGCCTCTTCAAGGTGCATGTGTGTGTATATAGTTAATATGATCTAATAAAGCATTACTGGTAAAAAGTTTCAGTATGCTAATTAGAGTTTAGTGTTTCAGTACAGCTTTGGAAGGACTCATCCTGAGTGAAGGGATGTGGTGAAGCCCCAGAATTCCATTATTCCTGGGGAAATTCTGCGCCAAAAAATTAAATTCTGCAAACAAATTTTCCCCCAGGAGTAGAGAGTTAAAGAACCCCTACGACAACCCAGTTCCTGCTTCTTTGTCATAGTCTTCTCCTCTCCTCCCCCCAGAGCCCAGGTGTGGGGCCCTCCCTGGCCCAGACACACTCACACCCCATACCCCACCCTTCCCCAAGGCCAGCTGCAGGTGCACGTCTACCCCCCCGACACTGACAGACCATGCCTTCCTAGAGCCATGGGAAACCCTCCAGTTCCTCCCTCTCCCTCCCCCCGGCCATGTTTTCTATTTGTGAACTGGGCTCTGCCGGGTCCAGTGGCTCCTACTGGTGACCAACATCTCTACAGCCTATTTCTATGGGGGGAAAATGGAAATTCTGCCCTCCTACCATTAATTTCTGCAAAATTCCGCATTGTGTAGTGGCACAGAATTTCCTCAGGAGTAATTCCATGGAGTAAGCTTGAGCTGTCTCTGGAATTTGCAAGAAAAGTAGTCTAACCCAGATCCTTTCTAGACCTCTTCCACAAAGTAAGTCAGCAGATAATAAATTCGATACTGGCTTTGGTGTGAGTTTTTGCACTCCATAAAAACAGATGGTTAAATACAGAAAGAATCTTCAAAACCTTCCTTTTCCAGTTGGGCTTCTGGAGATGTGAAGGGAAGAAGTTGGAAAGTACTTTGGGATATAACTTGTAAAAGGTGGTTATACACAACAGCCAGCTCTATCTCGTATTTATAAAATGCAGAAATTGGAAACCTTTCTATGGTACCAATACACATTACTGCACATTTCAGCACCATACTTTATTTAACTTTCTTTTTTCTTTGATTCATGTCTAACACAAAATCTCTAGCTATAATTGAAAGTGGGTATGTGAAAGAAAATTTACTTCTGGTGACTTCAATAGGATCTATTGATATTGGAGACCTTTTGACCACACTGTTGGAGGAGGGTAAATGCAAATGTCACGTGACAAACTACATGACTTCAGCTCCTAAATTTCCATTTGGGTCATAACTTAAGTTTTCTTCATCAGGAACAGAAGAGATGCTTTACCATTTATCTACACAGTTTGATCAAGAGAAAGTAGAATTTAAAATTTTCTTCTAGGATTAAGTGGTATCAACTGTGCTGGCTGTGTACCTCAGTAATATGACAGTGACAAAAATCACTAACCCTTAGGAAAACTTTTAATATCCAAGTGATTGTAAACTGAACACTGGCTGATTTTGCTCCAGTGCTGTGCTAGGGAGGTGTGAATTCCTCCGTCTGGGAGCTATTAATAAGAGAGAGGTTGTGTCGGGAGGTCAAGATATGGGGATGGAAAGGGTTCGCTAGGGAGCTGTAAGGAGTCTTAGTGAGCCATGTTTAGGAATAGAAGACTGGGCTTCTGGAGATGTAAAGGGAAGAGTTGGAGAGTGGGTTGGGATATAACTTTTTTTTTTTTAAACAAGTTTATTGCATGCAATAGAACAGGCTACCTCATATTTACAAAATGTAGGAACTGGAAACCTTTGCATGGGGCCTACGCACATTACATTTTTAAAAGAGGATTTGAATAAACAAAAGAAAAGTAGAAGGGATGTCTTTCACTCTGGTGTACTTGTAAATCCTTTGTTCCTTCTTATTTTACTGTTTCTAGCTGATTTGTTTCCTCAGAAGATCCAGGTTTGTTTAAAGTCTTTGTATGACCACAGTGAACAGGGATCAGTTTGAGTTGCAGGAACTGAAGTGTTTTCTTTTTTATTTTTGCAGTTTTCTATTCTCTCTCTCTCTCTCTCTCTCTCCCCCCCCCCCCCCCCAAATAAAAAAAATCTAGGAACCTTACACACCTCGTTAGCCAAGATTATAAAATTTAGGACATATCTTAATGTATCAGTATGCATATATACTAATATTCCATAAAGACTTGTCTTTGGAAGATCAAGACACGTCAGTTAATCTGTGTCCTTGGCTATCTCAACCAGCCATCTTGAGCATCTCAAACTCTACCTGAGGCTTTGGCTACACTTGGCAATTCACAGCACTGCCGCGGCAGCGCTGTGAAGCGCGAGTGTAGTCGCGCCGCCAGCGCTGCGAGAGCTGTCTCGCAGCGCTGTAAGTACTCCACCTCTCCGAGGGGAGTAGCTTGCAGCACTACAGGCGCTGATTACACTGGCGCTTTACAGCACTGCACTCGCTGCGCTGGGGGGGGGGGGGGCACGTTTTCACACCCCTGAGTGCAGCAAGTTGCAGCGCTGTACAGCGCCAGTGTAGCCAAGGCCTGAATGTGTGCTAGTATTTTGTCAGTAGTCATGTGTTTCCATTATAATGGCAGCTGGCAAAAGCACCTTTGAAGTGTTGTAGCTCTTGAATGTCAGCTGGGATGCCCAATTGTCATGCAAAAAGGTGGTGGTAATAATAGGAGGAGTTAGGGGTTTCTAAATTCTGAGGGCTTGGAGGGAGGAAGAGGTTAGGGGCATCCTTGACCTTCCTTTCAAATAGTAGTAATGTTTTTTTTGTTTTTTTTTAAGTAATAACTGTTGCCTGTTGGCGTATTCCATGTACTTTATTGCCTTCTGCTTACAACTTTGAGCACTGTTGAATGAGGCAATAGTTCTTAATTATAATCCGCCAATTATTGTGTGTGTTGAGAATAAATTACAGAGCTTGAAATTTGGAGGTGAGGGGGAAGGAGGAGGATCTTGGGGTTTGTCGTCTTTTGTGGAATATATTAATAAAAATATGTGGTCTTTGATGGAAGTGCTTAGCTCTAATAGTGTTAAACAGATCTTGAGATTTATTTGTATTTGCTCGGATAGCAAATCAATTAACTTGAAATTTAATGAATTAATAGCTGGTGTGTTAGTAAATGCAGCCTGTGCAACAAGATCACTTTTTGTAATCTGACTACTTAATTCCTCTCCCTTGTTGACCTGCATTTTAACTGAAAATACTGTCAGTTATTAAATTCAAGTAAATCCAAGTGGGCATGCTTGGAAAAGAGAGGCTTCAGAGTAGCAGCCGTGTTAGTCTGTATCCGCAAAAAGAACAGGAGTACTTGTGGCACCTTAGAGACTAACAAATTTATTAGAGCATAAGCTTTCGTGGGCTACAGCCCACTTCTTCGGAAGTGCATCCAAAGAAGTGGGCTGTAGCCCACGGAAGCTTATGCTCTAATAAATTTTAGTCTCTAAGGTGGCACAAGTACTCCTGTTCTTTTTTTGGAAAAGAGAGTGGTTTTTTTGTTTTGTTGCCGCGCCCCCCCCCCCCCCCCTTGTGCTCTGGAACACGTTTCAGCAGGAATCCTTTTTATTTTTTGCTTTTAAAAGTATTAACATACAAGGTCTAAATGACAAAATGTGAGTGTTCATGTGCAAACTTCCTGACTCCTGCACGCTGCTTTCTATAAAGGATGTGCTCAAATTCAGTCACATGGAAGTAGGAAAATCGGTATTGTTGATATTTAAGCATATTTGAAATGGTAGTGTCCCAGAGTTAAAAGTGGCTCTCTAATATCAACAGGAAGAATAGCATTGTGTAAATTACTTGATATTTACATGTATGCTATCTTTAATTTTTTTATTTGGACCTGAAATCAACTGCGAGGCAGAATACCTCTGTCTTTGTATATATGTATAATTTTGGTGTACACGGGAGTTTTTACATTAAAATGTGGGGGGTTTTTCAGGTCAACAAGGGCAGCCACAAGATTATTCAAAGGCTTGGGAGGAATATTACAAGAAGCAAGGTAATGTTTGCTAGAAATGAGATTATTTTGAGCTTCTTTGTCTTTGTTACAGCAACAAAGTTATGTAGTCCTAATTTATTTTAGGTCAAGCAGTTCCAGCTCCAGCTGGGGCCCCACCAGGTCAGCCTGATTATAGTGCAGCATGGGCTGAATACTACAGACAGCAAGCAGCATATTATGCCCAGACAAGTCCACAGGGAATGCCACAGCATCCTCCAGCACCACAGGTATAAAGTTTTATGAATTATTTTGTTTATAAATTTTTTTTTTTGCATGTCTCCTGTTTTGTTACCGTTGGAGTGTGCATCCTTTTTTTCTAGCAAAATAACTCAGAATAATTAGTAAATGACTTTTATCTGGTAACTTCAGTTCTCTATCTCTTCAGAACGTTCAGTGCTTTTGATTAAAAATTTTTCTCCCCCCAGGGTTTAGAAAACCATGCAAGAAGCCACCACCATTTACATTAACCAATTTTTCTTTCTTAAAGGATTCACTCCTGAGTTAGCTCAATTTAAAGGATTTTCTTTAACTTTTTGTGTATCTCTTATGTATCTCTTCTGCACAGGGCCAATAATAAGAAGTGGACAATACAGTATTTGCTTCATTGTGTGGGGGAAAAAACCTTTGTTAAATGTATGGATGCAGACGCCTTGATGAAGATCTTAATTTTGTTTGGTTTAAAAATAGTGTTTTTGAAAATGTACAAAATATCTATCACTACTGATAGGAGGTAATATTTCTGTGTAGAAATGAAAATTGGTTTGTTTTTAGTATATTAGTGTAGATGTACACATTCCAGCAAATGTATTTGCAATTATTATGTGGTCAATGCTTTGTGATATAAATGTACTTTTTCAATGTATACTTTCACTTTTAAAATGCCTGTTTTGTGCTTTACAATAAATAATATGAAACCTCCTGTGTCGGTAAGTTGGATATGTGGGTATTTAAAGAATTCTAGGACTTATTAGCAATGCTGAATTAAGGTATATGTACCCAAATGAGACTTTTTTTTCCCCATGAAATCTTAGAATGAGTTTAAAAACCTGTCATTGGCATGTTTTTCCCCTTTGCAGAATAGTTGTAGATGGAGGATCTCTTTCATTTATTGTATTTTGCTGTCTAGCACCAGTAATCTTGATACCTTTATTTTCTTTCTATTTGATTAAAAACTGCATGTGTTTAAAAAGGTGATCTTTTGGCATACTTCCATTGCATTAACAGTGAAATTTCCCTTTTTATACATGACCACTGTTTCAGACCTGTACAGCTGCTATAAGTTAACCTTTCTGTTTTTAATTTGATACTGTTTCAGCATAACTATTTTAAACATTTTTCAGATTAGTTATAAAAGGTTTTTACTTTTATAATGTTCTAAGCATTCAGTTTGCAGTAGTTCATTTCAAAAATCAGTGTAGAAAGGTGAATGTGGTTACCAGAATTTCATCTGACATTGAAACTTTATATTTTGTTTGGGGTGGGGGAGTGGTTGACAGAGAACTTCTTTCAGTACAGATAAGTTCTGTTGTGTAAATGCTCAAGACCAGTTGTTGAATCAAATTATTTGATATACTTTTTTTGTTACATTACTGCTCGTACTGAAAATCTGATATTCTGTTGAAATTCATTGTTTGCTGTTTGCATATTTATTGGCTCTTTGCATATATTAGACTACATGCAATACAGTCTGTCTTGCCATTGTCTGTTGAAGTGCAGGTTTGATCCAGCCAGTATAGAACTAGCTCTATAGGGGTGAGGAGGACTGTGCTGTGTATCATCCTTGATTGTTCCTTCAAGGAGCATTGCACTGTAAGTACATCAGAATGACAAATTGATGAGCTGCAACAGTATCGTTTGTCAATGTTCCACATAATGCAAATGCCATACTTGTGTGAATATTATGTTGGAATACAGTGCTAATATCTTAGGAAATCATAACTGCTTCTTAATTCAGAAACATAGGCGTGCATATATATATGTGAGCTTTATGGGTAAGTATTCTTGAAATGTTCAGCAATAGCTAAAGAAAATCTTGTGTTATCTAAGTAATACAACATTTTTCACTAGGGCTCCTGAGACAAAGGTTGTATTATTTAGTCTATGAAAATATGCATATCTTGTTAATATGAAAGTGATTGGAACTGCTTGACAGACAGACAGTTGTTTTGTCTTAAGTTAGTTTGCAGACATGTAGTGATGCAGGTATATGTTAAACCATTTTATAAGCCTGTATTAGCCATATCTTTTTGGAGCACCATTTGTTGCTTTGAGAATACTTTTTTTAAGGTGGCTGCATAGAGAAGTAAAACTTAAGGCTTGAAATTTGAAGTAGTTTTATTATTCAGATAATTAGCAATGTATTTTATTGTGTTTTGTAGAACCTGGAGGGAACTACCGTACCCCTTTTTAGATTAGGAATTTTAGTAGTAGTTTGAAACAAACAGCTAGGAAGATACTGCAATCTTTAGTGTAGGATATGAAGTTTAATAGTTAAGATATTTTGCATGATACTTTTGTAGATGACCTTATAGTAGAATGGTGCATTTATTACTAATTAAACTGAACAAAATTAAATTCACTGGATTCTTTATCATTCACAAAATGGAGGCTGTTGATTTTGATTCATTTTAAGGTATAAAATCTTTATTAATTGCAAACAGTGCAATTATTTATACTTCACAGTGCCTTCCCAGACCTTCCACCTTAGGTTCTGCTGCAAAAAGCAACAGGTAAGCACAACCTAAGGAAGTATATAAATACATATTTCAGTACATTAATGTTGTCCCTGTGAGATTTTTGTGGTTGTGTATTCAAAAGCAATCTGCTGATTTCCCCAAATGCATTCTGTTACTCATGGTTCCATTTCAGTGGAAAGTCTCTCAGTTGTTTAAACAACCGTTCACATTTCTGGGTAAATATGTATCTTTATTTTTTAGAAAAGATGAGTGGATTGCTGCAATAATTAAACTTAATCTGAATAAGTCATTTTTTGTTACTTTTTCCTCAAATAGCTGAATTGTAACAATTTAACAAAGGAAAACAAAACTTTTCCCCCTCCCCCAAGATGCAGGAAATACTTGGTTAGAAACTTCAACAGCCTTCACAAATGTTTTTATAACTGGCAGGTCATTATTCCCACCCCACCCCTAAAAGCTAAATAGAATACTGTGTGTTTCTCTTGACTTTTTAAAGAAGTTATACAACATAATATTAGTGAAATTTTTAGATAAACTAGTTTGCTTATCCATCTGATATAGTAGGAAAATTGACACAAGTTTTGCAGAATAGTATGTCTTACTAGAAAGCATGTGCACAAGTGAAATGTTAACTGTATGGCAAATAATCTTTTCATTATCTATATAGCAATCAGTATTTTCTGTTCTTTGATACTTTAACTGAATTGCTGTATACTTTTGCCAGTTTAAAATGTTTGTTTTATTCAATGGTCTGGTACAGTTTTTTAGTTAAAGCAGCATCTCATCAGTTTTTGTTTATTCAATATATAAAATGTGCTGATCCTTTTTCAAAAGTCCTGCTTATATCTATATCAAAGAAAAATATTCAAAAATACTGCCTTCATTTTCACACACAGTGCTGAAGATGCTGCAAGCACCAAATCATAGCTCATAAAATCAGGTCCTGAGATAGTTACTACCAATAAAGAGGAATCCTTTGAGTGTATGCCATTGGTGAGCCGATGAGCACGGACCATAGAAGGGGTCCATGTAGAAGGTAAAATTGGCAAAACAACAGATTTGAAATGTATCCCATACATAATGGTGTAGGGTATAATTTTTTTGTCTGATCACTTGTCATTCTTTAAAGTGCTATTTGCTTGACCATAAATGTTCAATAATCTGTTTAGTTTTAAAAATTATGTGGCTAATATTAAACTATATATTTTAATTTATATTCTTCTAAGCAGTCAAGCTTAGATATATTTACCTTCTGAAATTAATAGTTGCACTTAATTCCCTCAAGCCACTTCATTTTTGTTTACTTGTAGTTTGATATGTAACTCTCATTTATTTTTCACAAGAGAACTAGGTATGTACCCCCCGTGGGTTTTAAATCCTAAGAATTTATTGTCTGGGGTGGGATTTCAATTTCACTTCCTTAAACATGCTGCTTTTTATTTCACCGTTACATGAATATTTTAATAATTAAAATCTTAAATTGAGTAAATTTAGAAAGTGGGAGGAAATAGAAAAGACAGGCCAGTTATTTGGATTGATGATGGGGTGTGAAAGTCATAATGGCTTCAGTTTAGTGTTTGTGGCATATTGATTTTCAGCTCACTTATTGCTGGACTTATAGGCATATTTTATGTTAAGTGTAGTGTTATTATTTAAATCAGTCTCCAAACTATTTCTTTTAGAGGACAGAAGATAAGATTCTAGTAATTTAATTATTTCTGAGCGAAGATTGTTTTTGTGATTTGGTAGAAAAGTAACTGAACTTTCCAAAATGGGACATTAAATAAATGTATCTTGATTTGATAGAACCCCGCAAATGAAATAGGAAGTTGAGTACTGCAGTTTTAAAAGGGAAGTAGGGGAAGTGTAATGTTTAATATAGTAAAAGCATTTACAGATGACTTTCTTCAGTCTTTATACTGTATGACATGCCATGAAATACATCAGCTGGAAGGATAATCTTCATTTGGAAGTATCATAGTGTATTTTGGTGTCCAGGCAGGTTGTATTATTATTCACTGCACAGCTTATCTTACGTGAAATATTTCATCTTCCATAACAGTTTTATTGGATGCTAGAAACTATTTTCCCCCCTCATGAAATAGCTTTTCTATGTTTCCTTTGCATGTTGTAAATTGGCAAAATTTGGGCCGTCCAGTAAGCATACAGTTGACAGGGTTCCCTCTTCCCTAGTAATACCCTATAAAACTCTCATGTATATGCACATATTTCTCTTATGCATGTGAGATGCATTTTCGTCCTGAGAAAAGTGTTCTCTACAGAAACTACCCGTGTGTAAAAAGAAGATTGGCTTTATAAGGCTACTGTGATGGGAAGTGTCTTAGGGAGATGCAGCTTGGACTTGAGGTAAATTGAATGCTTTACAAAATGTGGTTTTGAGCTTGCATTATTGACATTGTATGTAATATGGGTACACATTAACTGTATAACATTTTTGTATGGTTTTATGGTTTTCTCAATAAATGTAAAATGATGGATAGTACAAAATAATGTTTGTCTTTTTTCCCTTCTTTCCTCCTGGCTTTATATTGACTTTCGCATGTTGGCTTCAGATGGAAAATACATACATTTGTGATTATTTTCACAGTATTATATAAATTCATGCAAGAAACATTGAAATGTAGGGCTGGAAGGGACCTGGAGAGGTCATCTAGTCCTTGTCACCTCCTATAGTAGGGTCAGACCAAGTATACCTAGACCGTTGCTGACAGGTGTTGGTTTAACCTGTTCTTAAACTTCTAGTAATGGAGATTCCAAACCCTCCCTTGATAATTTACTCCAGAACTTAATTATCCTTATAGTTAGAATTTTTTTCCTGATATCACCCTTGCAGCAGATTAAGCTTGTCCATACTTCAGTGACAAGGAGAACAGCTAATCACTGTCTTTTCTCAAAACTAAACATACCCATTTTTTAAATCTTTCCTCATCATGTTTTTTAAACCTTGTTGCTCTCCTCTTGAATAAGCATGACGCCCAAAACTGGGGACACTGTTCCATGTGAGGCCTCACTAGTGCTGAGAAGAGTGGGAAAAGGTGTCTTACATACAAACACTCCAGTTAAAACACCTCAGAATATTTGCCTTTTTCGAAACTGCATCACGTTGACTTGTACTGCTAAAAAGGATATGGAGGCTACAGTGGGTCAGAAATTGAATACAACTGTCTAGCCCAGTCATTTGCCACTTCGTATTTTTATTTCCACATATAGTACTTTGCACCTGGCTTTTTATAAGTGCACTCTCTGCTCCATTATCCAAGTCATTAATGAAAATATTGAATAGTATCAGACCCAAGACATACCCCCTGCTGGCTCCCAGCAGATATGTTCATCTAATTTGACAGCAAACCATTGATTATGCTCAGAGATAGTTATCTTTCAACCAGTTGTGTATCCATTTTATAGTAATTTCATTTAGTCCACATTTCCCTAGTTTGGTTATGAGAATGTCATGGCGGACTGTCAAAAGCCTTATTGAAATTAAAACGTCACATTTACTGCTTCTCCCTTTATCCACTGGGCCAGAAACCCTGTCAGAGAAGGAAGTAGGTTGGTTTGGCATGATGTGTTCTTGACAAATCCGTGTTGGGTATTACTTATCACCCTATTATCCTGTAGGTGCTTACAAACCGATTGTTTAATAATTTTGTGAAGAAACACTACCTACATGAAATGAAGCAAGATGTATTTGACAATTTATCTTCTAATTGTAATATTCAGAAGACTGTCACGCAACTGATCAGCAAAATAATTCTGTCAGGATATATCTAATTGTAATTGTTGATTGAGAACCAGAAAAAGAGCTTCAAAAATATGCAGCTAATACAAACACAAATGGAACCAACAACCAGAATATATAACTTAAAATAAAACCTCAAACAATCATTGTTTTATTTTCTTCCAAAAGGATTGCATAAGAATTCATTTGGGTACAGCCTCTAGCTTATTGTATTATGTTGAGGAATACAAATGCTGAACCTCAGAAAAAGTTGAAGTATGTGTACTTTGTATTTTTAAAAAAAAGTCCTATGAAAGTTGGACAGACTAATCTGAACAGAAATCCATTTTAAGATGTTTTGAGACACTGACATGTACATCCATTTGTCTTTGTGGATTTCCCATAAGAGAATTAATGCTTAGTTGTCTTTTCACTACAAAACCAAACATACACTAAGATGCAGTAACAAAAATTGCAACCAGGTGAGGATGAAAGTGGAGAAAGTAGCTGCTGTGCAAACCCCAATATATCCCCAGATGTACTTTCTACTAATTTTGTTTTTATATGCCAAGTGCTATTTTAACATGGGTAACTGGTAAAGTAGTGGGGGAAAACACAACCTTCATATGCAAGTCTTGGTAGTCTAATAGAGTTATCAAAACTTTAGTGATGAATTCACACTATTGGTGGTTATAGGCTAATTACACATCCCATTACTACGTTGAATATAAGTATTAAAGCTGATTTGAAAGGAAAATGTTTTATTAAACAAAAAGCTTAAACCATTACATAACCTTTTATTGTTTAAAAATAGTACATGACTTTTATTCCAGAAACATTCACTTTTGCCTGTTAAGTCTGAGACAAAATAAAGCAGCTATAAACTTAGTGTTCATGCAGAATGTATTCCTACCTCTTGAACTTCCAGATTATGTATTTAACTGTTATACTACAGAATAATTCGTCTTCAAAGGTAGGAACACAAATACAATTCATTTTTTTTCTATAGTTGGGCTTTTTCATACCAGTCCTTGTTTTAGTGTAATGTGCCTTTGATACCAAATTTCACATTGTAACAGAACTTGAACACTCATGCAGTACAAAGGATATCCCTATCTGATATAGGAATGACACTTTCTAGTTCCTTTTATTGGCCCCACCACAGAAAAAGAGATGGATGCAGTAAGAAAGTTGAGGGGAGGTTTCCAGCAAAAGTAGAGCATTAGTAGTCATCAGCTAGAAAAGAAAAGGAGAGTCAAGAAAAATGGAATAGACTTTGTAACAGGAAAGGTGTGTAAAGTAATTAGGCACTCAAACAAAACAAGATAAAACATTAACTCTTACTTTCAATGGTGAGAATACAGGTGCTAGCTGCTGTGCCTCTGCTGTTGACCGCCTTACACATATATTCTCCTTCATCTTCTGGGAAAGTTTCTGGTAAGTAAAGGCAGTAAGTTTCTCCTCTTTCAATGTACTGATAGTCCTCAGAGTCCTGCAACATTTCCCCTTCAAACCACCATGTGACTTCAGGTTTTGGCTCTCCCGTAATTTTAACAGTAAATCTTACTGGCTCGCTGTCTACAACTGATACATTCTTTAAGGGTTTTTTGAACCATGGAGCTCCTGACCGAGCTTGGTTCTCTTCATCTTCATAAGTAGAACCATTTATAATACTTCCCTCTTCCTCTTCCTCCTCTTCCCTTTTCTGTGTTAAAAATAAATTGATTTAGAGAATTTCAAACACTGTTATAACATGAACAGTTTGCAATGCCTCGTAAATCTTTGGCCATATGAAAGTTAGAAAAAACTAAAATTTTAGGGAAAGGAGATGGCAACTCTCCCAACGCAAGCATACTGGATAATAACGGATTATGCATCAATACCACAATCTGGATACTGAACAAGAAAGGCATAATGGGAAAGTTGGGGAAGACAGAGCTTAATGTGGTGGGGTGCAGAGGTGGAATAATATAAGAATGTATGTTGCTTCCTTCTTATTTGAGAACTGGCCAAATGTTTAAAGGAAAACATGTCCACTTTCTCTACAGCATTATGTATGTATTAGAGGTGTTAAACTATTAAAAAAAATTAATTGCCGTTAGTCATAGTTTTAATTGCACTGTTAAATAATAATAGAATACCAATTTAAATTATAAATATTTTTGGATGTTTTTCTACGTTATATTGATTTCAATTACAACACAATACAAAGTAGACAGTGCTCACTTTATATTTATTACAAATACTTAGACTGTAAAAAAAAAAAATCAAGTTAAAGCATGAAGAGGCATGAAAGTTTAGCACAAGGGTTCTCAGACTTTTGTACTGATGACCCCTTTCACACAGCAAGCCTCTTGAGTGTGACCCCCTCTTATACATTAAAAACACTTTTTTATATATATTTAACACCATTATAAATGCTGGAGGCAAAGCGGGGTTTGGGGTGGAGGCTGACAGCTTGCGACCCCCTCATGTAATAACCTTGTGACCCCCTGAGGGGTTCTGACCCCCAGTTTGAGAACCCCTGGTTTAGCATTTCTGGCACAAATACCTTGCAGCGCTGGCTACAACAGTGCCATACCGAATGCCTGTTCTCACTTTCAAGTGATGTAAATAAGTAGTGGGCAACATTATCTCCCGTAAATGTAAACAAACTTGTTTGTCTTAGCGATTGGCTGAACAAGTAGGACTGAGTGCAGCTATGTATTAAAAAAATTCTATATTTGTAAGTTGCACTTCCATGATAGAGATTGCACTACAGTACTTGTATGAGGTTAATTGAAAAATACTATTTTCTTTTTTACAGTGCAAATATTTTTATTGTGTTGTAATTGAAATAAATATATTTGAAAATGTAGAAAAACATCCAAAATATTTATAATAAATGTAAATTGGTATCCTATTATTTAACAGTGCAATTAAAACAGATTAACTGTGCTTAATTTTTTTATCAAGTTAATTTGTTTTGAGTTAACTGTGATTAATTCCTTCAAACAGGAATTATCAGTAAATTCCAAAAGCAATTTTACTGGATATTTCATTTCAACTGTTTTTTGCAGTATCAAGACTATTGTGATTCTAGTAATGTTGCTACTAACTGGAAACAAACCAGCTCTTAAAACATGCATTTCATTAATATTAAATTAATAGAAAATTCTTGGCTCTTGAACATTTCTGGAGAGGGCATTTTTAATCCTCCATACCTTCTGTAGTGCAGCATCAATTTCCTTCTGTTCAAACTGCATACGTAGTAATTTTTGTTCCTCAATTCTTCTTTGTTCCTCTTCTTCCCTTGCCTTTGCCATTTGCTCAAATCTAGCCTTCATGTTTACTTTATGAGTAAATGGAGCCTCAGATTTCTTGGCAGGCTTCACATCTACTTCATCATCCTTTTCAGTTTAAAGAATAACAAATTCAGTAAAGTAATAAAGTTTAGCACTTTTAATCATAATACTGACAGAAGACTGTACCAATAAACAGTAAAAAGGCTAGCTTAGTTGAAGGGTTCACATTATGCTTGTTTCTGGGGGCAGCATGACCCACCCAGAATGCTGTAGCAGTTAAAACCCCATAAGCACAACAGCATCTGAAGGCTGGTCTAGACTGGGATTTAGGGGTGAGATATTCACTAGATAGCTTTACCATTATGAACCTTTAGTTGAAGCAATAATGCTTTAAAACATGCTAAATTAATTAAAAACCCAGGCTCCCTACTATAAACACACTTAAATGCTAGGTTGTCTTCACTGCAAAAAAAATTTAAAAAGTC